TGCAAAATTCTTCCCCTCCCACCAATTCTCCCCGACTGCTACATATCTTCTGTGTTATAATTTCCTTTTTCTCCCCTTTTCATTTAAGCATCCTGTCTTTTCACGTATGTAACACTCGCCCACCACACACACTTTAATGTCAGTCTCTCCTATTCAATATGGATAAAGATGAAAGGAAACTCAGAACAGTGAAACTATTAGCATCACAGAAACATCTTAAAGGGCTCCAATCCTAACTGGCTTCAGTTGCACTCTGAGATGAGGCAGCATTACATGGGGACCAGTCACACTAAAGCCACTACTTCCTAGTGGCAACTCTTCCTCTTGATCACTGTTCATTAACATTCATTCCTAGTGTGATAACAACACTAAAAACTTTACATACATACTCCTCCCTAGGCCAAAAGGACCTAATTAAAATTTAAACCCAAAACACCAATAAATACAATGAAAAGTTGGTAGGGTTCTTTGCCTCCTGTGGTCTAAAATGAATGTATTAAAATAAAAGTGAAAAAAGATAACATTGAGTGCACACTTTGTGCCAGGTGCTGTCTTAGAGCTCTAAACCTCACAATAACCTCTTGGGTGCTATTACTACATGCCCTTTAAAGATGAGAAAAATGACTTCTGGGGAGGTTCAGGAACTAGTTCAAGGTCACAGACTTGCTAAGCCAGAAATTTAAATTCAGGCATTTGGTCTCTAAGTCCAAGATCTTAACTTTTATTCTATAGTATTTCCCAAGATGCCCAGATGCTGTTTGTCTGCAAGATTTTAAATATAAATCTACAGCTTCTTTTAATTTGAGAAAAAAAAAAAAAAAGAAAAAAAAAAAGAAGTGAAGCCAAAACCGGTTTGGTTCAGTGGATAGAGTGTTGTCCTGCGGACTGAAAGGTCCTGGGCTCGATTCCGGTCAAGGGCATGTACCTTGGTTGCATACACATCCCCAGTTGGGGGTGGGGGGGTTGCAAGAGGCAGCTAATCGATGATTCTCTCTCTATCCCTCTCTTCCTCTCTGTAAAAAAATCAATAAAATATATATATTTTTTTAAAAAGTGAAACTCCCATTCAAAGCAGCTTAAGTAAAAGAGAGTGATGTAATGGCTCCTATCAATGACTTATAGAATGGGCTAATATCAGGGACAGCTGGATCCAGGGACTTGAACACTGTCAGGATTCTCTCTGGGTGTTCCTTGCTGAATGTCAGACACTTTCTTCCAGACCAGTTTATGGGAGCCCACATGGTGGGTCATTTGGGGAAGCTCCAGTTTCATATCCTAACATGAGTCCAGACAGGAAACTATCTGTCCCTCATGGCTCAGGTAAGAAAAATTCACATGGAAGATTCTGATTGACCCATCCTCTTCCACAGGAGGAAGCCAGAACTGATCATGCCAGCAACTTCCCTCTCCCCCACCTTTGTTCCCTAGAATGTATGGTGAACTGGATTACACAATCTAGTATAAGGGCCATAATTCATATACCCCTATCTCCCTTTCATATAGCACACTTGTAAACAATCTGTAATCAGAAAGGGGATGAGTACAGGGTCCTATCTGCTGTGCCAAGCACACAGCGAATAGGACCCTGTACTCATCCCCTTTCTGATTACAGCTTGTTTACAGCAGATACATCCTTGACATGTTCTAGGTGTGTCGGACCTCGGGAGGCACAGCGTCTCTGGATACAGTTGTACGAGCTGGAGGCCCTTAAAGGAAGCTTTAGACTAGCGTCCTCGGGCCAAACCGTGTGTATGTAAATCTTCAGGCTCTACAGCCGCCCTCGCGGCGCTGGACCAATAGGTTCCCCATTCGCGACCTCTATCTCCTAACGTGTGAAAACAGCATGTGGAGCGATAAAAAGTGAAACTTCAGAGCCGCGAAAGGAGAGAAACTATCGGGATCTACGTGGGGGGCAAGCGCATCCCTGTGCGCATGCGCGTGAGAATGCGCGTGCGCGGCCGTCCCGGCAGCCCCCCCGGGGGGCGGGGCGGGAGCAGGCGGATTCCCGCGGTTTGGCCCCGCCATTGGCGGGCGGTTTGAATGACGGAAATGACGGCGGCTCGCTGATGGCCGTCCCGCAGGCGCACGAACGGCTGTTGGGAATCTGAGTGGCGGTGGCCCCGGGACCTTCCCTGGCGGAGCTGCCGGCCTCCTGGCTCCCGGACCCCGGCTCTCAGGTGAGTGACGGCCGCATCGCCTCCCCGCGGCGCGGGCGTGCACGACCCCGGAAGCCCGGGAGCCCCGGGTGCGCCGGGGAGGGGGACGCCGAGCGGGAGCGGCGCCGCGAACGCCGCCCGGCCCGCGGGGTCCGGCCGCGGCGGCCGCTCTCCCCGGCTCGCGTGGGCTTGCGGCTCCGAGCAGCTGCGGGACCCGAAGCGCGGCCCGACCAGACCCGTCCGCTCGCGCGAGGGGCAGCCCCGGGGCCTTTGCGCGTGTGGCTCTGCGCCTCTCCCGGGCCCGGGGGCGCGGGGTCCCGGGAATTCCAAGGAGAGTGGGCAGCCGGGAGCGCCTCCGCGGTGCCGCTACACCCTGCTCCGCGCGTCCTGCCCATCCTCGCCCGAGGCCTGAAACCTGGTCGCCGTTGGAGAGCACCGCCGGCATCGTTTCCTGCGGAGAGCGTGCTATTTTTTTTGGGTGTCTGTCACCTTGAATTTTTTAAGCATTAAGTCTTGCCCCAAACTGAGCCTTTAAAAACATTGGGGAAGGTTCGAATCACATGATCACCAGGACAGCCTGTTGGGGTTACTCCCCTTGTTTGCATAGTTTAGGAAAAGGAGGCCAAAGTGAATAAGGTGATTTAGCCAGAGCCTTCCTGCTTTAAGTTACAGTATTGGGTCTTGAACCCAGACATCTAAGTCTGGTATTAATTTTGTGATTACAGTGTGTCAGGTGCCACTTAATCTGAACAAAATCTTGCAAGGTCATTAGTATGTTATTGTATAGCAATAATATATAGGATTTCAAAAATCCATTTTCATATGAATAAGTGAGGGAGCAGGGGAAACTCTCCCTCTTTGAAGGTAGGTCTTCAATGGTAAGCCTAGAAGAAATAATGTAAACAGAAAATGCTGCTTGATAAATGGCGCAGTAATTGTTTCTGACATCAATCATCAATGGATACTAAACGTAATGGGCAGAAGTTTGATTAGCAGCAGCGCGATACTTACAAAGCCTCAACTCTCTCTCCCCCAGATACTTAGAAATGAAAAGTAGTAACTACAGTAGAGAAATCTGGTAAGTAGATACCACCTTAACCACCTGATCAAAATTCTCATCGGCAGTAGGAAGCCTGGTTCACTTCCTTTACCTCCTGATGTGGTGCCCTGAGAAGGCTGCATTATCACTTCTGTGGTGGTCTTGGCAAAAATGCATAACCTCATTCTAACCGCAAGAAGAGATGAAACAGGTCCAAACTGAGAGACGGTCTACAAAATAACTGAGTGGCCAGTGTTTTTCAAAAACGTCAAGATTTTGAGAACAGGGTGATGAACCATCCCAGATGAGAGGAGTTGGAGGAGACACGACAGCCTCCGCAGCCATGAGAATGTGAAGCACCTGCGTTCTGAAGCCCATTGGCATGGACGCTGGGCTGCTCCTTGCCAACGATGGAGCTTTGCCAATAACTGAGCATAGCAGGCCTGTTCCTGAGAAACAGGGCCCTCTCACAGGGCTTGCTGGACCTTCCTTAGACTGCATGGGCATGTAGGAGGCATCTACCCAACTTATCTCCCTCCTTCACTCAGTGTCAGATTTGCATAGAAGTCTGAAGTTTTCTCAGCTTTCTCCCCATTTTTTTTTTTTTTTTCTGGCGCAGGCATTTCCCCTAATAAAAACCTTTGTGGGCATAATCCCAACTTGGTATCTGCAGACTATACACAACAATCAAATGCAGTGTATTTTCCTTGGATTGAGTCCTGGTCCAGAAAATGGACATTAGTGGAATAACTGGTGAAATTGGAAGGTTTTAACTTTTTGTATAGGTTAGTTAAAAGTATTGTGACAGTGCTAATTTCCTGGTTCTGATTATTGTACTGTGGTTACATAAAATGTTAACATTTAAAGAAGTTGGGGAAAGAGTATATGGGAATTCCAAATCTGAAGTTATTTGCAAATACGTTTAAATTTTTTTTTACGTTATATACAAGAGAAAACAGTTGTTCTGTCACACCGAGGTAAAAATAAACAAATGTATGTTTGCTTTCCTATAATCCTCTTGCAAATGAAATGATGAATACTCAAAACTCTTGTAAATGACAGTGATGGGAATGGGGAAGTATCAGAATGATCTAAGGATTTTCAAGTTACAAAAACTTTTAGATTCTTACATTTTTTCAGTTTTTCTCCAGCAGACTCCCCTAAATAGGAGCATGTTAAGCTAGGGAGAAGAGTGAGAATACTGAGTACAAACAATAACACTAGACGTAAAGAATTGGAAATCTAAACACTTAACTCATCTAAACAACAGAATTGTTCCAAGGGGATTTTTTTTTTAAATATTTATTTTAAAATCATCCATTGTAGTTGTTGAAGAATTGTTTACTGCTCAGGGGTTGATAGGTGATCAAGTTGTATATAACAGATTGCAAGTTGAATCTAGAGACCAGGAGCCCTTGCAGTTATAGCAGTAACTGTGAAAACATTTATTCTGCGCTAACGCATCTCTTTAAGTCTTCGGGCTTTTTTGCCTTTAAACTAAGTAATTTGGAAATCCCAATTAGGAATAAGTCAGGTTCCTAAACTAGGTAAACAATAATCTGCTGTAGATGGAGAACATTTTTTTCAAGTACTTCTGATTATCCTCCACCTACTCCTTCCCATCTATCTGAGAACCACTGGTCTAAGTGCTGCATTAATAATTGATGTTTGTAAATAATTTGGACTTTGTTTACCCAACCCTTACTTGACAAATATACTTCTTAAAAATTATCTTCACTGCCCTATTTTAATAGACATTTTTCCTTTTTAAAAATTCAGAACCGTTTTATTTAAAGAACACAGAAATGAAAAGAAAGGTAGTGAATGCTGGCAAGATGAGATTGAGTCCTAATGAGGAAGCCTTCATTTTAAAAGAAGATTATGAGAGAAGACGAAAACTAAGATTGCTACAGGTAAGATTTATTTGAAACAAAGTTTCAAATTCTGTAATCTCCCATTTTTTAGTATTTTTTACATTAAAGTGTTTTATGTAAAATGTTGCATTTATTATAAAAACCTTTCTTGGGGGGGGCAATGTTAAAATATGTACACAGATAATTTAATAAAAAAATGTAAAAGAAAAAATACGAAACCTTTCTTGCTGTACAAAAGCCCTGATTCTTGCATACTAACTAGTTTTGGAACATTTGAAAAATAGACCAAAATGGTAAATATATTGAAGAAGAATTTGAGGATAGGGATGAGTTGACTCAATAACTATTAGAAGTTAGTTCTTTAAATATTTTTTAAATGATGTTCAGCTGATAAAGATTAGGATGACTTTGAAGACTCAATGAAAAGATTATTAGCTGCTGAAACAAATTTATTATGAACTCGTAGATTTTTCTTTTCTAGAAGTCTTTAGAGCAGTGGTTCTCAACCTTTTTAATGCCGTGACCCTTTAAAACAGTTCCTCATGTTGTGGTGACCCTCAACCATAAAATTATTTTTGTTGCTACTTCATAACTGTAATTTTGCTACTGTTAATGAATCATAATGTAAATATCTGTGTTTTCCGATGGTCTTAGGCAACCCACAAGTTGGGAACCTAAGACCATCAGAAAACACAGTTATGAAGTAGCAACGAAAATAATTTTATGGTTGGTGGTCAACAAAACATGGGTAACTGTATTAAAGGGTCGCAGCATTAGAAAGGTTGAGAACCACTGCTTTAGAGTAAGTTAAGTCTTTGTGAAGCATATTTTAGGTGCCATTCTGCCTAAAATTGGGGATGATGTACCACAGATAGGGAATTCTTATCTAGCTCTGTCTATAATCACCTGGGCTATATATTTTATTGAATCATGCTTACCCATTTTAGCTTCTTAAATTAGGTTTTTAGAATGATAATGGCAGTACCATTAGGGCTTGAGGAATATTATAGCTAATCATTTAGGAAACTTTAGAAGATGTCTTGAAATTTTAGGGGTTTTTTCCTATATCACTTGGATTTTTTTTTGATTTTTTTTTTGCTTTACATAGAACTTATCTAATGAATATTCAGGAGAATTGATAGATCTAACAAAAATTAACTTAAATTTCTGTTTCCAAATAGCTTTTCAGAAAAGGTTTAAGTTCTCTCTCTCTCTCTCTCTCTCTCTCTCTCTCTCTATATATATATATATATATATATATATATATATATAATCTGCTAAATATTAATTCTTCAGGTTCGAGAACAAGAAAGGGATATCGCTTTACAGAGAAGAGAAGATATAAAACAAAGGAGATATCAGCAACTTAATCATTTGGCAGAGGCACTTAGGGCAGAATGGGAAGAATCACAGACTCAGAAAATAAACAACTTGGAAAAACTATATTTGGCAAGTTTAAGAAATATGGGAGAGGGACACCAACAAGCCAAAGAAAATGTAAGTGACCGTTGATATGACTGCCTGTCTGTGATAGTAATTTTGGTTAAAAGCAAATTATACTTGTTAAATGTTTGTCTGATAAAAAAATGTTTTTATATATAGAATTTGTTTTGGGCATCCTGAAGTTTTTAAATTTAATGTCATTTAAGAATGCTGCTAGGTTCATTTTCTAGTAAGAGTCGTGTAAGGTAAACTCTTATCTTCCTGTAATGTTTAGTGTGTGTGTGTGTGTGTGTGTGTGTGTGTGTGTGTGTGTATGTGTGTGTGTGTGTGTGTGTGTGTTAATCTTCACCTGAGGATAGTTTTCCATTGATTTTTTAAAATATATTTTTGTTGACTTCAGAGAGGGAGGAAGAGATAGAAACAACAATGATGTAAAAGAATCATTGATTGGCTGTCTCCTTTACGCCCCTTACTGGGGATCAAGCCTGCAACCTGGGCATGTGCCCCTGACCAGAAATGGACCCAGGACCCTTCAGTCCACAGGCTGATGCTCTATCCACTGAACCAAGCCACCGAGGGCTCTATTGATTTTTAGAGAGAATGGAAGGGAGGGGGAGAGACAATTCAAGAAACATCCACATTAGAGAGACGCATAGAATTGCCTCACACAGGATTCCTAACCAGGGCTGGTGATCGAGCCTGCAACTGAGGTACATGTCCTTGACCAAAATCAAACCTGGGACCCTTCAGTCCTCAAGCTGACGCTCTATCCACTGAGCCAAACCGGTGAGGGCTATCTTCCTATAATATTTCATTCTCTTCCAGTCTTAACTGTCTGGGTAATAAAAAATAAAAAAAATAGTAACTTTCTTAATCAAGTTGTTTTTGAGCATTTTGGACAGATTCAGTGGGTTGAATTCAAATTTCTCATTTCATTATCATTCCTCATATCTCTAATACATACATAATTGAATGTATATACACTTAGATTTCATTTACACAGAGTAAAAAATTTTTGATGACTTTCAAAGAGGCAAAGTAGAACTTAGTATTTCAAACTGCCCCGTTAACCTTATGTTGTTTTGTATTTTGATTTATGATTGGAAAATATGGGCATGCCTTGGAGATACTTTAAGTTTGGTCTCAGACCATCACAATGAAGTGAATCACTTGAATTGTTTGGTTTCCCAGTGCTTATATATTTACACTATACGGTAGTCCAATAAATGTACAATCGCATTATGTCTAAAAGACAATGTACATACCTTAACTAAAAAGTACTTTAATGATAAAGAATGCTAACTATGATATCATCTGAGCCTATTGGAAAAATGAACTTGCTCAAAGCAGGTTGCCACAGACCTTTAATTTGTAAAAATCTACACTATCAAGTGCAGTGAAGCGAAGAACAGTAAGACAACAGGTGCCTGTTCTAGATTGCAGTCCCGGGGACAGTCACACAAAATAAGGCAAGTCTTCAATATCAAACCAATGAGGAAAAGAAATACCTTTAAGGAATGTGGCAATCAAATATGTTCAGTGGTTCCTGGTTTTAGTCTGGGTTTTTAGTAATGACATTAAGTTCTGACATCAGATTTTTGTAGCTTCACTTATTTGTGATTTAGTTCAGTGATTCCTAAACTTCAGTCTTTCACATTCATGATTTTTCCTCTGACTTGGGAAACAACCAAAGATTATACTGTAATGCTACCTTTTAATCCTGAATTACATGATTTAACATCTTATATCTATTTTTAGGAACCTGATTTGAATGCTCTGGCACAAAGGGCAGCAGAAAGAAAAAGAAAAGCAGAACTGAGGCATAAAGAGGCCCTGAAAATACAGAAAAATCAAAAAGAAATGTCGATTAAACGAAAAACCTGGTAAAGTAATAGTTTTTATCATATCTCCACTGAAGCGGATATGGTTTGAAGTAGATGCTGCATTGGATATTGTTTAAACAGCTATTTAAAAAAATTCAGTTTTTAAAAATAATGGGGTGAGGTGTGTGCTTAGGTAGGTGAACATAATAACAAATGACTTTAGCAACAATTACTAAATTATATAGAAATGTATGGCTAGTTCAGAATGCATGTCAACCAAAATCTCTCTGCCTCTGATGTGGAAAAAAAAGATAAGAAAAATATCAGTGCGATTAAGAACATTAAAAGGTTATAGACTCTTTGGAAGTCATTAATGAGTATTTTAGTATACTGTAAAAATGAAAGAGCCTGTTATTACTGGTTAGCAATAGTCATTTTATGTAGTGGCCCATATTTTTCTTTTTTTTTCTTTTTTTGGTAACCCTAAACTAATGAACATTAAATGTTCATTGGACTTGTCCCCACTGTCTTACTCTTGGTAAACAATTTCTTAATATCTGCTGTGTATAGACTGTTGGTTAAATAACACACTGAGCTTATGGGAACAGATTGGAGGATTTCTTGAGATCCTGTGGCCTTTATATTTTTAATCTTCAGGGATGTACTATAATATTGTCTGAGAAAGTAATTTGTGCCGTCTTTTGTTTTCTTAAGGCACATAAAAGCTCGAAAGGAAGCACTGCTTGCGGAAAAAGAGAGGTCTGCCAAAATTACAAGTCTGCCACCTCCTCCTCCAAGTCTTTTTGAGGTGAATTACTTTGAGTGTTAAGAAGAACTAGGTTATAATAATTCTTGACTATTAGAATTCAGTGCAGATCAAAATGTCATTTGCTTTTTTTTTAAATTTATTGAATTTTAAGGAGAGAGAGAAAAACATGGATTTGTTGTTCCACCTGTTTATACACTCATTGGTTGATTCTTATATGTCCTTTGAATGGGGATCGAACCTACAACCTTGGCATATCCTGTCAGTGATCTAAACAACTGAGCTACCTGACCAGGGCCTGACTTAATTTTAACTGTACAAGTAACACATGCATATATCTGGAGTAAATAGTATGTATCTCCACTGTATTAGGACTTTTTTTTTTTTTTTTTTTTAACACAATACTAATATTGTTCCGAATATAATCTAAAATAAAGTGTGTGACGCAGCCAGTATGTCTCGGTGATTGAGTGTCGACCTATGAACCAAGAGTTGAGTTTCATTCCTGGTCATAGCACATGTCTAGGTTTCGGGTTCAATCCCCAGAAGGGAGGCATGCACGAGGCAGCCAATCAGTGATTCTCATCATTGATGTTTCCCTCTCACTCCCTCTCCTTCCTCTCTGAAATCAATAAAAATATATTAAAACACAGTCCATGTTCAGTTTTTCCCAGTTATCTAAAAATATTTTTGGTTACTTGAAAACCTGTAGATGTCTTTATCTTTAAAAATGCCCTTTGTGCCAAAACCGGTTTGGCTCAGTGGATAGAGCGTCAGCCTGTGGACTGAAAGGTCCTAGGTTTAATTCCAGTCAAGGGCATGTACCTTGGTTGCAGGCACATCCCCAGTGGAGGGCGTGCAAGAGGCAGCTGATCGATGATTCTCTCTCATCGATGTTTCTAATTCTATCCCTCTCTCTTCCTTTCTGTAAAAAATCAATAAAATATATATATTTTTAATAAAAAAAATATATATTTTTAATAAAATATATATATATTTTAAATGCCCTTTATTTTTTAAAAACTGGATTATTTGCTCTGTAGACTTTTTCACATTTAGGATTTGGCTATTGTACATAGTTACCATATTATAAGATAAAGAGATTAGTTCATAAGTTAATAAGTTTATATAAATATCATTTTGAACAATTTTATTAAGTGGAAATTAAAAGATCAATTCTCTTGTTCACATTAGCTTTTGGTTGTTATTGGAATGGCTATTTGGATGATTATCAAAATTAGTTATTTTTACCTAAGAAGTTAATCAGAAAAAAAAAAAACTTACGCAAATACAAAAATGTCTAACTTAGTTGTATATACACGTATATTTTATGTATGTATGGTTGTATATACACATATATTTTATATAAATACCCAGTTGTATATATACATATATTTTATATAAGTACCCAGTACTCAACTCTTAAGTTGAGTTGTATATACTCATATATTTTATATAAGTACCCAGTACTCACCTCTTAAGCCTTTAATGTCAGCCTTCCTGCTTTTATGTTGAGCCATCTGCCATGTAACATTTGATCCAACATTCAAATGGAAGAGTCCGATTTCAGTCACTCCCTCAGTACCATGTTAAAAGACAGATGGTATTTTATCTGTGATCCCATGATTTACCATTGTCATAATTCCTAATGTTCCTGGAAAACCAAAGTAAAAAATTTACAAAAAGCAAGAAAAACTATGATTTACCAGATATGAATTATATGTTGGATGTAAACTCCCCCACAGCTTTTTATTATGAAAATTTCAAAATACAGAGAAGTTAGAAGAGTACAATGAATAGCCATTTGCCTTGTGTATAGATTTCATATAGTTGTGCATATATGTATACATTTGAATGTAAATTGTAGATATGACATTTCACCCTAAATATGCTTTTTGTAAGAATAAGGATATTCTCTTATGCCGTCACAGTAACACCTTAGGAAAATTAACATTAATTCCTTAAATCCATTTAATATTTAGTTAGTAATCGGAATTTTCCAATTGCCCCTAAATTGTCATATCTTACAGCTTAGAGAGATAGAAACATCAATGATGAAAATCATTGATCGACTGCCTCCTGCATACCCTCCTACTGGGGATTGAGCCTGCAGCCCGGGCATGTGCCCTTGACCAGAAGCAAACCTGGGACCCTTCAGTCCACAGACTAACGCTCTATTACTAAGCCAAACCAGCTAGGATTTTTTTTTTCCAAACCAGGATCCAAGCCAAGGTTCACCTATTGCTTCTGTTTGTTTTATTCCTTTGGTCTCTGTTAATATAGAGCACTACCTCCCACAAGTCTTTTATTTCAGACTTTTTGAAGGGACTGGTTTGAAGAGACTAGACTAGTTTCTCATGTTCTGTATTTATCTGGCATGGTTACGATCATGTCTATAAAAGATATCCATCATAAAGGTATATTTTTCTCTTCAACTAGAGGCTTGGTACACAACATTCATGCACTGGGAGGTAGGGGGAGGGAGTCCCTCAGCACAGCCTGCACCTTCTCACAGTCCTTAACGCTGCTACAGAGGCAGGAGAGGCTCCTGCCACTGCCCTTGCCAGCTGTGAGCCCGGCTTCTGGCTGAGCAGTGCTTCCCAATGGAAGCGCACTGACCACCAGGGGGCAGCTCCTGCGTTGAGTGTCTGCCCCCTGGTGGTCAGTGTGTGTCATAGTGACCAGTCATTCTGCCATTTGGTCAATTTGCATATTAAGCCTTTTATTATGTAGGATTACCAGGTAATCTGAGAGACGATACTTTGGCATCAGAATATATCCATCCTTCTACATTTATTCATTGGCCTACTTCTGTTTGAAAAAAGAAAAGAGAACTTACTCTTTATCAGTGAGCACGAAGCCTGTAACCGAATTATCAAACTTAGAATCGATAATAGTAGAGCAATTTATATGCCTCCTGATGTGATGTATTAAATTATACAGCATCACTTCTGTAATACTTTTTTCTAAATATAGTCTAGCTTTTAAATCTTAATTCCATTTTAATGGAAATACAGGATATGATCCCATGTGAAAAAAATAAGGATAACTGATGAAAATACAAAATAAATTTTCTTGTATTGGATCTAGCTTTAAATGAAAATTAATGTTTTTAACCTAACAACCTATTTCCTATGTTCAATTTTTTCAGAACATTGAAGTAAAGAGAACTTCTAACGTGAAAACCAATAGTTCTACCTACCATCATCTTTATGCTTTTGTGAATAGAGAGACAGACACAGAACAGGTGATTGACTTAATGTTTGTTCATTTTCCTCATTTTATTTTGTTCATTGAATTGAGTTATATCTAGTTTCTTGTAAGTTGTTTCCAGATGACAAAATACCACAATTCAACTAACCATCACAGAGTAATAATGTTTTTAAAAATATTTCAAATATGTTTTGAATTATCATGTTATATTTAATATGAATGAGGTTTAATATGAATAAAAGGAGTTAGCTATCTGGATGGTTATATTTTAAAATAGCAAATCTTAAAACTTTTTTAATCAAAATAATATATGCTCTTTGTGAAAATTTTGGAATTACAGATGCCAACCTAAATGATAGGAAAAACACCCATGATTTCATAACCAAAAGGAAATGTAGTTAATCCATTAATGAATTTATCATAGTACCTTTGACATGTTTTATCATGGTAACTGCAGACAGCAAAGGTATTTGAGCAGGCCTTCGGCCTCCATATCCCATATGACGCATTGTACAGCTAATTTGCCTACAAATGTCAGGTGGCCACTCAGTGTATATAGAGAGTTTTCATGTTCATCATTAATTATTTAAACTGATGGATACAATTTCAACATACAAAATCCTTAGAAGATTTGTATAATACTTAAGGTTACATTTGGAATGTTTACCAAGATTGAAAATGAATATTCAGATATAAGAATCCACGTTATGTGCCTCTTTCCCTCCTTAGTATTATTATTGTTATGTTAATGAATGTGATGGCTGACTACAATCACATAATCATTGGTTGTGTGCAAGTTCTAGGAAGGCAGAAATTATATTAAGTAGGGTTGTGTTTTTTTGTGTGATTTGGTCTTCTTGATGCTGAAGCCAAGCAGCAGATGTTGACTGAAAATTAAAAATAGATCTCAGTGCTTTTCTAAATGGCTTGTATTATTTTTGATGTTTGTGGTTTCTTTACTACTACCTTCCAGCATCAATTGTCTTAATGGGATTTCTCTACTTAACAAAAAATGATAGAGAAATGTGTTTGGATAAGTATAATGCAGCAATGTTCAAGCTTTTTCATCTCATGGCCCACATAACCTAATTACTAAAATCTGTGGCACATCAAAAAATAATTACATTTTTTTGCTGATCTGGCAAAAAAAAGGTAGAATTTTGATTCATTCACACCAGACAGCTGTTGTGTGTTGGCTGTTGTCTTTTTTTTTTTTTTTTTTTTTTTTTTTCAATGTAAGGAAAAGAGGTCAGAGCTCCTGAATAAATAAATAGTTAGGTATTGCATATTTTGAAACCTCTTGTGGCACACCAGTTGAAAATCACTGTTATAGTGTAATCTGATTTGAAATTAACTTGCAAAACTTTACATTAACAATTTCGTCTTTGTCATAGATACTTGCTGTGGGCATTCAACTCTTATTTAATTTAAAAAGAATAATTTTTATTGATTTCAGAGAGGAAGGGAAAGGGAAAGAGATAGAAACATCATGATGAGAGAGAATCATTGATTGGCTGGCTCCTGCACACACACACACACACACACACACCCCATTGGGGACCAAGCCCACAATCCAGGCATGTACTTGTTGGCTTCACAGAGTGTTGATTCAAAGGTGGAGTCATGACTCTATGTCATAGTTTCAGCCTCACTTTTGTCATGCCTATTCAGCAAGTGTTTATTCTTGCAACAGCATAGAAATGATTAATCTTTTTAGAAGTCTAAATTTATGTTTTGAATTTGACCCATGCATTTGGATTTTTTTAAATGCTTATCTGAAGTTTTTTAAGTGCTTTTTAAAGTTTTTTAAGACTGGAATAGAACCTGGGACCCTTCAGTCCGCAGGCTGACTTTCTATCCACTGAGCCAAACCCACTAGGGCTTGATCATTTAATTTTATTTAAGTAATAAAACATGATTTTATTTTGTTTTGTTTTTTTAACTATTAATTTGTTTTACACTTTTAAATTGCCTAAAATGTTACTGATTGACTGCTAGCCAGATCCTCATTTGGCTGCTGAAGAAGAAGCTAAAAGACTGGAAGAAGTACAAAAACAAGCAGAGAAAGAGAGAATGGAGCAGACTGAAAAGGCACATGTACGGGGTTTCCAAGCAATGAAAAAGATCCATTTGGCTCAAGTAAGAATTAAATTCTCACTCTGACCACTACTGACAGACTTAACCGATAGCATTACAGAATTATTAGTATATGGGCTCAAAGTAAAGAGGTGCGACGAATGTGAAAATATAGCCTCTGAATCATACGATTTCAAATTTCCCCAACTTCTTTTACCTCTTGCTTCAAATTCAGGTTGGGTAAAGCTGTTCTCACTAATAATATATTGATGTTCTAAAATTTTTACTAATGATGAATTTATTAAAAGTTAAATATTTTAATCAATTAAAAAATAGCCTGAGAAGAAATGAATCACTTTCCTAATTTGTGCTCTGTAAATTCTAGAATTCAACTCATTGAATATTTATTGAGCAGAGCACTTGTTGGCTTCGCAGAGTGTTGATTCAAAGGTGGAGTCATGACTCTATGTCAAGCAGTTTTGAAAATGGGATTGTTGCAGATCTGCAGAATATGTATAATGAAAACTGGCTTCATAGTTTCAGCCTCACTTTTGTCATGCCTATTCAGCAAGTGTTTATTCTTGCAACAGCATAGAAATGATTAATCCTTTTAGAAGTCTAAATTTATGTTTTTAATTTGACCCATGCATTTGGATTTTTTTAAATGCTTATCTGAAGTTTTTTAAGTGCTTCTGTAAGAATCAAATGCCTTTTTTTAAAAATTGAACTTTTTGAGGTGACATTGGCAAAATGCCTATCTTATTAAAGTTCATTTGTATAGTTTGAACTGAATTATTACCTTCTCCCTTAAATATTTAGCTATTATAAACTGGGAATAAGTTATGACTAAAATAACTGAATGTCTGAATTAGTATTAGTCTATCTAAGGCTTAAACCTATAGAAAAAATTGTGAAAGCATCATAAACCGAGCACTCCTCCACAAATCAATAGTGTCTAGTGGTGAAGTAAATGGACTTCACAGTCGGCCTAGATTTTTGTCCCTTCACTCCTCCACTGTTTGATCTCTGAGCTCTGTTTCATGATCTATTTTGTGAGGATCAAGTGAATTGAATAAAGCTCCTAAGATTGTGCCTAGAATTTTCATAAACTCACAATAATTTTATCGTTGTTGGTGGTAGATACTATAAATAATTCAAGTAGAAAAATATGCCAGGCTTTCAGCGAACCAAGAATAGTATACTTACTTAAATAACTTTGAAATTAATTGAATAAGAAGTTAATTATTTGAAACTTAAAGTAAATGAAGTGATTTCATAATTGATTCTTTTTCAGGGCATGGCAAAAAAAAAAAATTCGAGATATTTTATCTCCAAATGACAAAATATTTTAAACTTTATATAAGAATAAGAAGTGTGCATATGTAATCACTTGACAAACACTTTGTTATACAGGCTGTCCATCTTTTTTCAGACTTAGTGTCTCTTACACAAAAAATGTCATCAAACTATGCAATCTCATTACTACTAGAGCATTTCCTTCCCTCTGTCTGAACCTTTTTGCTGTAGATCCCATTGTGCCCTGGGACTATATTTCCTGCTGGTGTCTAGTGTCTATAATAACTATTGTTTGGCTGCTACTTGCCCTTTCAACTTTATCTTTTTTCCTTGAATATCCCTGCCCTTTATGTCCTATCTATAATGAACAGTGTATTTTTCCTGAATACCCTGTGCCTTCATTTCCATACCTTTGTACTGTAGTTGTTACTTTCTTACATGCCTTCTCCTTCACCCACTTTTACCAGGCTAAATCTTCATCCCAAGGAATCAGAAGTCTTCTCTTATGCTCCCTCCCTAGCTTCCACCACCAAAATCCTGTTAGATAACTTCACTGAAACTCCTGCTTAAATTTCCAAATTAGCTAGACTCTCAGCTTAAAGAGATATATATAGATCCCCTTTAATCATGGTGATTCCAAGAGTATGATGTAATAAGTACCATCTATTAAGCCACAGGCACTCTGGGTCCTGGTGCCCACCTGAGACTGGTATATGCTGCTGTCTACGAGGAGAACTGGTACAGAGTGCACTGCAGGAGCGTGGCACTTCTATAGAGCCTACTTTTATACAGCCTGACTTCATGACTATCCTGAGAAAGGAGAACTGTAACTGGCAGATACTTTTGAAGCTTTGTGGTGTAATCAGTACTTAGAGTCCTTACTGACAGAGTATTAATTCCCTGTTTGCTGCTCTTTAGGTTAGGGATGAGATTGCATCTCTAACATCAGTGGTATCTGACATTTAGTAAATATTTTTTTGAATGAAGAAATTAATGTCTTTTTGTGGCATAACAAATGGTAGAGGAGTGAAAGGAACCCCTGGCCCTGTTTCTCATGATTTCTCCACTTTTCCCTCACTGTTAATATCCCAAGGGTGTGCCTCAGCTATTGTTAATGAAATCTCTTTATTCTTGAAGAATGAAGAGAAACTAATGAAAGAACTCAAACAGCTACAGCAAGAGGATCTGGCACGTAGGAGACAGACTGTAGCACAGATGCCACCACAACTAGTTGCACTTCCGTACAAACGCAGTGAAATGAAAGAAGACTGGCAGAGAGAGCTCGAATTTGCCTTTGAAGACATGTACAACGCAGACAGGAGTAAGATATTTTCAGTAAACTTTCCGTGGTGCCTTTAAATGTCTTTGTAGGAAAATAGATTTGCATTGATGAAGCAGTTTTTATTTTGAAATGAGTTGTTTGTTTAAAAGAGATCCTCATGTTGTAGACTTAGGTACTATAATGGCCTTTAAATTTTTATGCTCAAGTTCTTTTTAGTCATTTTGGAATGGAAACTTATCTCTGTATTTCTTTATTGAGAGGTGAAAGGAAACCTGATTTTGCACCTTGAACCGGAACCTTTGCCCACTGTGGCTGATCAGATCCAAGATGAAGAACTGGACCTTTCAGTGGAACATGAAAATTTAGATGAAACTGAAAAACCTCCAGTGACAGAACCTGAAACAATAAGTTCTGGTGAAGCAGACGGTAAAAACTTCTTCAGAATTGAATATTACGATGTTTCATAGAACAAAATGCTAATTATTTGCCAACAGTTAGAAAAGTTTGGTCTAATTTGAGAGCAACAGTGCTTAATGGGAATAGGAGTGATAGAAGGAGGAAACAGCATTTTCAGGTTTCCATTATTATTATTTTTGATATATATTTTATTGATTTTTTACAAAGAGGAAGGGAGAGGGATAGAGAATTAGAAACATCAATGAGAGAGAAACATCGATCAGCTGCCTCTTGCACACCCCCTACCAAAGTACATGCCCTTGACCAGAATCGAACCTGGGACCCTTCAGTCCTTAGGCCGATGCTCTAGCCACTGAGCCAAACCGGTTTTGGCAGATTTCCATTATTAATAATCCTTTTTATATACAAAGGAGTAAAGTTCTTTTATTCATATGTATGTATACTCTGAATACATTTGAAAAGTCAGCATTTTTTTTAGACTTTCATCAGATCACCCAAGAAATCCTACTGTTTTAATTATAGCTAGGCACTAAGTGTGTAATAAATAGCACACATTTAGATCTCTTTTCTAAACTTCATCTTTGTCTCTACCATTTTAAACCTTATCACAAGTACTTAAAACTCAATATCTTAACAGCAAATTGATCATCTCTTGACTCCAGAAACTTTGTTTTCCTGTCTTCCTCATCCATAGTAAACTAGAGGCCTGGTTCATGAAATTCATGCACGGGTCAGGTCCTTAGGCCTGGCTGGTGATCTGGACTAATCTGGGCCTTCCTGCTGCTGGCCGGGGTCTTCCTTTTTCCACGCTTCCCCGTGGCGGTCAGCTCACATCATAGCAAGTGATCAAACTCTGGGTCAAACTCCTGAGGGGGACACTTTGCATATTAGCCTTTTATATATATAGATTATAACACAGTGTGCAGTTGTCCAAGCTAGACCAATGTTTGCCACTGACACCTCCTGTTTTTTTATATCTGCTTCAAGACTAAGTCCTCTTCATTTTGACCTCTTTTTACCCCTTTACCTAACTACTTTGGCCTTTGTTCAAAACCACTCAGTCTTTTTCTTCATTTCTACCGTACACTGTAGGTAGGTAGCCCTTTAGGCTTCCAACTTTATGTGGATCTCCTCTTGGACTTATTGGGTGAGGGCTCTAGGCTTTGTCCCTGTCCCTAGGCCCACACTGCTGTCCAAAGTATAAGGTCATTGTGATTTGGCATTAACTTCAGAAGGTGGTTTCATGGCTCACTTGTCTTCCAGAATTCCCACTTAAATTTCATTTTTGGCCTCTGCAGAATCTTTTCTTTTCTTGCCAGATCAGCAGTACCTTTAAGAAGATACTTGACTGTTTCCTTTGTCTCTTTGAGTTGTTTTCATTGGGAATAGCATTCAGATCTGTAGTTTGTCAGAGTTGCACAGCTTGCCTTATCTAAAAGGACAGTCACTTTTCAACTCCTGCTGATCCCATTTGGGATTGCTGGTTCGGTGTTGCTAATTTTTTTTATTTAAAAAAAAAAAAACACCCTAGGAATACTATTGTTTTTAAATGGTGAGTGAAAAAAGCCAGGTAAAAATAAAATACCTAAATGTATATCCATATTTATATAAAATTAAAGGGAAAAACAGGCAAAAATAATGTTGTCTCAAGGCAGCATAGTGATTATCTTTAGAGGAGTGTTGAGTGGAAGGGGCATGAAGGAGTTTTTGAAATGTTTCACATAATGATCTGGATGGTGTTATATAGATAAATGTAAAATTTATTGTACATGTAAGTTATGATTAAGAAAGTTTAAAGAAAAACATATGTTAGTCAAATCTATAGTCTGCCAGTTTTCCACCTCTGTAAATTTCTTAAATTTTATTAAGTCAGAACACTATATGCATTCAAAACACAGTTTTGTCCCCTTAAAGAATTGTTAGTATTGTACTGAGTTTTGGAATAGTACTATCAGCTCATATGGAAGGATGTTTTTGAGGAAACAACTTAAGAATTTTTAACTACAGGGATATATATATAATTTCAGAGAGGAAGGGAGAGGGGAGAGAGAGAGAGAGAGAAACATCACTGATAAGAGAATCATTTGCCGTGACCGGTTTGGCTCAGTGTATAGAGCGTCAGCATACAGACTGAAAGGTCCCTGGTTCAATTCCGGTCAAGGGCATGTACCTTGATTGTGGGCACATCTCCAATAGGGGATGTGTAGGAAGCAGCTAATCGATGTTTCTCTCATCAATGATTCTAATTTTATCCCTTTTCCTTTCTCCCTGTAAAAAAAATCAATAAAATACATATTTTTTAAAAAGATAGAATCATTGATTGGCTGCCTCCTGCATGCCCCACACTGGGGATCAAGCCCACAACCTGGGCATTGACCGGAATCAAACTTGGGACCCTTCAGTCTGCAGGCCGACACTCTATCCACTGTGCTAAACCAGCTAGGGCTACACGGATTTCTTTATGATGATAAGTGGAAGAAATTTTCCCAGAAAGTACCAGGAATACTTTGCGAGCATGTGATTTGGTTTCAAGGTTCTAATGCTGATGTCTTTCTCTGTAGCTACTAAGTACAGAACCATAATTGGTACCCTCCTCTAGCATATAGAACCTTACAATACATATTTTCAAAGTTAATCTTACAAATTAAGAGGTATGCATCTGTCTTCAAACAGAATAAACATGTTACTGATACATTTTTCAACTTCAAATTTGTGATAGATGCTTGTTAGGAAATAGTTTAATTTTGGTGTCTTTATTAAATTTAAGTTAAAAATATTATTCCTGGTTATAAAATTGTGATTGGGTTTGAATAGCATTGTACATACTGTTAAATTATAAATGTGAGGGAAATAAAGTTGTGCTTTTGTTTTAACTAGTACTTGTAGCAGTAACTAAGTGTAAAGATAGAATAATTTACTGGGTATATAATAGATACTGAATAATTTTTTTTTCTTTTCTTTTAGTTCCCTTGGCAATGAAGACCCAGCCACTCCCTTCAAAAATTATTTTTAAAAAATTATTAAATAAGATCCGAAACCAGAAAACTCTATGGACAATTAAATCCATGTCTGAGGATGAAAGTGAAATGACTACAACTGTTGGTGAAACTGAGAGTAAAGCACCAACATTTGAATCAGAAACAACTACTATTGAAGAGGGAACATTATCCTCTAGGCAGGAGCAAGGTGTGTCTGTCCAGTAGTCTCATTTTGTAGTCCATACACGCTTTCTAAGTTACTTAAAATATGCTCATTTCTGCACTGGCACAGTGGCTCAGTGGATTGGAGCAATGTCCTTTATACCAAAAGGTGGGTTCAGTTCCCATTTGGTGCGCATACAGGAGGCAACTGATCCATGTTTCTCTCTCACACTGATGTTTCTCTCTCCCTCTCAAAATAAAGTCAATAATATCCAATATAAAATTTTAATCAGTTTTCTCTCATTGAGACGGCTATTTCTAATTTTTCTTGGTATTTCTTGTGCTGCAGTGAGCATTCTTTTAGCAAAGTCTTTGCCCTTATTTTAAATTACTTCCTTAGGAACAACTCTTGAAAGAACCAAGGGAGATGAACATGTTAACAGCTCTTGAGTATATTGTATTATGTGCTTATTCTTAGAATTTTGTCTTCTGTGTTTTTTTTAAATGTGATTGTATTTGTATGGAAATACTTTGCTACCAGGCTTCCAAAAGTAGTGACTCATCCATATTTGGATTTTATTCCAAGTACAACAGGAAGCCTTTTGGAAACCATTTCTTCACTTGACCTGTTGACCCCGCCCTCTCTTGGTTTTCCTGTATCACAGCTACTCCTCCATGGTTTCTTTTGCTGCTTATCCTGATCTCTACAACCACTAGTCATTGCCCTGAGCTTGTTTCTCAAATCTTTTCTCTTTGTATCAACACTTCCTAGTTCATCTCCAATGTCATGACTTTGTCTTACCATCTATGTACTGATGATTTCCAAGGGTGTCTTTTTAGGCTTGATCTCTCCTTTGAATTTCACTCATTTAAATGTCTATTTGACATTTTCCCTTATATAGTAATCACATCTCAAACTTTCCACTCTTGCTATCCCCTTCCACCCAACACTGCTTTTCTTACAGTCTTCTATATTTTAATAATTAGTAATAAAATTCTTTTGCTTAAGCCCAAAAGTTAGTTATTCAGGTTTTTCTCTTTTACATTGTACATCTGAATCATCAGCAAATCCTAGTAGTCTTACCCTCAAAGTCCAGCCATTTCTCATCACCTACCATTTTGGTTTAAGCTATGTTCATTCTCTAGTGTAGCTTCCTGTAGTAAACCCTTAACAGGTCTTTTATTTTCAGTTTTGTACCTCCTTGCTATAGTCTCTTTCCTGACTCATCCTGTTAAAATCAGCTCATCATTCTTCTGGGGAAGCTCTCCAACAACTGCCAGTTTCACTCGGTAAAAACCAAAGTGCTTACATTAGAATCAAAGCTTTATGTGATCTACACACACACCCCTCCCACATAATTTCTTTCAACCTCACTCTCTGACTTCTTTTTCTACACCTGCCCAACCATAGGTATTGGTTTCCTTGGTATTTTTTAAAAAATATATATTTTATTGATTTTTTTACAGAGAGGAAGGGAAGATAGAGAATTAGAAACATCGATCAGCTGCTTCCTGCACACTGGGGAATGTGCCCACAACCAAGGTACATGCCCTTGACCGGAATCAAACCTGGGACCCTTCAGTCCGCAGGCCAGCACTCTATCCACTGAGCCAAACCGGTTAGGACTTACTTAGTATTCTTAACACAGCAGACATGGCTTACATAGCATTTGCTGTTGGTCTTTCTGGCTAGAGTGCTCTTGGATATTTTAATAATTCACTCTCACTTCCTTCAGACATTTGCTCAATAATGCCTTCTCAGAAAGGCCTTCTCTTACCACTCTATACAAAAAGGCAAGTTCAGCCCCTTGCCCCATCCACACTCCCTTCAATTCCTATCTCTTTTATCCTGTTTTTTCTCTGTATTTCTCATCAACATCTGATGAACCATAAATTTACTCTTGCTTATTTGCTCCTTACCTTGATACTTTTCCTGAGCACCCTCCAATCCCACAATGTCATCTCCATGAGGGTAAGAACTTGAGTTTGTTCATTGCTAAATCCCAGAGCATAGACTAGTGCCTTGTACATAAAAGATGTTCAGTTAAATGAATAGCTTAAAGCAAGAGAGGTAAGTTCAGAAGCCAGACATACATATGATGATTAAAGCCATGGGTGTGGAAGAACTCTTAGAAGAGAGACTTCAATAGAAGAGGGCTTCTGAGGGACTCCAGCACTTAGATGGCTGGAGAACAGCAAAGGCAGTGCAAAGGAGTGGCCAACAAAGTTGCAATAAAAGGGGCCTCTTTCATCTCAATTCACAACCAGGTTATTTTGAAAAAGTTCTTATATGAGTGGCCTTTCTCTAGCCTCATTTTGCTTCATTTTACCCCTTGTTTAACTTCACCCATTTGATCCTCATTCAGTTCCCTGAATGTGCCAACCTCACCATAAGCAGGTGTTAATACCTGCTTATCTGGCTGATTCCTTCTTAACTTTTAAATGTCTGCTTAAGTGTCATTTCCTAAGAGAAATCTAATACTCTTGCAGAACCCTTTATTTATCTTATATAGTTCTTAACTATAGGTTCTAATTTTACCTTTTTTTCCTAGGATACTTATATAATGTTTCTGTCCCCACTCACCCCTCTTTAAGGCCATTTCTTATTTACCACAGTGTCCCTAACATGCAACACTTAAGTAGGTACTGAATGAATAAGTGCATGAATGAGTGAATATTTAATACAGCGTTTCTTGCTACCCTGATATGATTGCTTTAACTTTCTTCTCTGCTCTGGTTTCATAAAAATCATAACATCTAAATATTTCAAAGATTCTTTTAAATTTCTTTAGCTTCTGCTTAACTTTGGTGTCTTGCTGATTTTATGTTTTCCATTGTATTTGAAATTATCAGCAGGCCTTCTTAATTGTTTTTCATTTTTTCCTTTTTGTTTACAATTTTAGTCTTTCTCTTATATTAGGCTCAAGGTGTTTGTTTTTGTTGTTGTTGTTTTAAATATATTTTTATTGGAAAGGAGAGGGAGAGAGAGAGAGAGAAATATCAGTAATGAGAGAATTATTGGTTGGCTACCTCATGCATACCCATCACTGGGGATCGAGCTTGCAACCCGGGCATGAGCCCTTATCTGAAATTGAACCATGACCTCCTGGTTCATGGGTTGATGCTCAATCACTGAGCCATGCTAGCCAGGCTTTTGTTGTTGTTTTTATATTGTTATTGATTTCAGAGAGGAAGAGGGTAGGAAAGAGAGAAACATTAATAATAAGAGAAAAATCCCTGATTGGCATCCTTCTGCACACCCCATACTGGGGATTGATCCCCAAAACCAGGCCTGTGCCTTGACCAGAAATCAAATCATGATCTCCTGGTTCATAGATCTATGTTCCACCACTGAGCCATGCTGGCTAGGCAAGGCCCAAGTTTAATATATAAAATATGTGGTCATTTGGAAGGTGACTGGATCTTAAATAAGACATTCAGGTGGACCAAGATGAATTGTTAATCTGAGTGCAGAGTTTTGTTACTTTGTTCAGATTTAAGATTAACAGTGATAATATGTTCATAATAATGTATTTATTATATTATAGTTGAAAGTGATATGCTAACAATTGACTCTGGACCACTCACTAGTGAAGATCAACCAATTTCATATGATGCAGACACTAAAAAGGAACAAGGTATTTTTTTTTTTAATTTACATCCTCAAATTAAACTTTCTTGTTTTTCAAATATTTTTTCTAATAAAACTTCATGAAATGAATGAATAAAGAACGTTAGAATAGTATCAAAATTTTAAATTGTTAAAACTAATTTTTGTTTTGGGAATCTTCTTAGAAATAAATGAGATCCAGCCAATCACAGCTGTAGCTCAGAGTTCAGTTCTACTCCATCCTCAAGAGGAAGCAATCAGAATTAGAATGGCAGCAAGACAGAAACAGGTAATTTGAAATTTTTGTTTTTAAAGGTTTTTTCTTCCCCTTGGTACTTTAATTTTGTTTGGCCAGTGAAATTTGTCTTAATATCTGGCTACATTTGATTACGGTTTATTCTACTTTGACTTACACATTCAGCTGATAGAAGGCACTTCATCTTCATATGTACTATTCATTTGATCCTTATGACTTCTGCTTCGCATTTTATACTTTTGTATATATCTTATTTTTCCTATGAAATGTATTCTTTTTTAAAGTCAGAGACTTTTAAAAATGTATTTTACTCTATAGAATTTCTGGTCTAGTGCTTTATGCATAATAAGAGTTCAATAAATATTTGTGGAATAAATGGGTCCCTGTCATAATATTGGTCATTTGCGTGGGCTTTGTAATTTTAAAGATTTTTTGAAAAATAATATTTTAGAAGGAAATTTAAATTCAACCTTCTTATCTATAATTTTGGTTCCATTAACTTTAGTAAAAGATTTTATTTATTTATTTAATATTTTTTTGGTTTGTTTCTTTGTTTTAATTTTTCAGTTACATATGACATTCAATATTCAGTCTCAACACAGCTTTTTCTTTATTTTAATCCTCAGCCAAGGTTATTTTTTCATTGATTTTTAGAGAGAGTGGAAGGGAGAGGAAGACACAAAGAGAAACTTGATGTGGAGAGACACATTGATTGGTTGCCTCTTGTACACATTCTAATCAGAGCCAGCAAACCTGCAATCAAGATACGTCCCCTTGACCAGAATCGAACCCAGGACCCTTCAGTCCCTGAGCCCATACTCTATTGAGCCAAACCAGCTAAGGAAAAATATTTTAATACAAATTACCTTGAAAGAAGCTAGTTGTTACTAAGCCAAAAAGTTTCTAGTTATAGTCTTTATAAAAATACAGCTATATAATTAAATTCTAAGCCAGTATTCTCAGATAAATGTTTTTAAATCAATATTCTAAAGCATTATTGTCCATTAGAACTTTCTGTGGTAATGGAAATGTTCTGTATTTGTGTCCATATAGCTGCTACCTGGGCTGTTAAATACTTGAAATATTAATAGTGTAATTGAGGAAATGAATTTTAATTTTTATTTAATTTGAATTCACTTACCTAGACACATGTACCTAGTGACATTTGTATTAATAATGCTGTTCTAGAGGTACTACAGAACTGAACTGTAAACAACTAAATTCAGTGGTTCCTATGCCTGAGGGAAAGGAAGGAAATAAAGATAGGAACTTGCTATAGCTTCATTAATTTTTAACTGTTTGTTACCTGACTAGAAATAAAGTTTCAGATTGAGACAATTTTTGTTTTGAAAACAAGATCATCTTTTATTATCCTATATAATAAAACCCTAATATGCATATCGACCGAACGGTGAAACAACTGGTCGCTCTGATGCTCACTGACCACCAGAGGCAGACGCTAAACACAGGAGCTGCTCCCGGTGGTCAGTGTGCTCCCACACAGTGAGCGCTGCTCAGCCAGAAGCCAGGTTCATGGCTGGCGAGTGCAGTGGCAGTGGCGGGAGCTCTCCTGCCTCTGAGGCAGTGCTAAGGAACAGCGAGCCCGGCTTCTTGCTGAGAGGTGCTCCACAGGGAGATATCCTTTGAGGGGTCCTGGACTGCCAGAGGGCTCAGGCCAGGCTGAGGGACCACCCCTCTCCTCTCCCACCCTCCATTCCCCTGTTACATGGATGCCGTACACTGGGCCTCTAGTCTCTAATAAAAGGGTTCTTTTTAATAAAACTTCACATTCATTTTTCTACTTGTTCAGTAAATATCTATTATGTGTTACGTATGTATCAGGGACTTGACTAGATGCTGGATTTAGCAAGCAACCAGAAACTTGGTCACTCTGACATATGTTCTTTTTACTTGGATCTGTGTGTATATTGGTGTAATATTAAAGTTCAGGTGTCATCCCTGTGCCATTGACCGACTCTGTTTCATGCCTGACAATGTTTCTCATTGTATTACTATTTGGGTTCTAAGTAACTGCATTCTTCTATGGGTATGTTTTAGAAATCAAAGTGTTTGAGGAGGCCTTGACATTTAATTTCTTTGTCATTTCTTACTTAGTACATTGTAAAATTAAAGATGTGAACACAGAATTTGGCCAAGCATTGTTTCCTATTTCTATGGAGGTGGGACTTCAGTGATGATCAAGGCTTCCCTATGCTTCCAGGAAGTAGAAATAATGTGTTGTTGTTTTCTTTCTGCCTCTTTTTAAATTTTTTTTCTTTTTCTCCTTTCCCCCTTTTCCCATTGTTCACTCACTTCCCTACCTCTTGCCCACCCCCTCCTTCTGCATCCCTGCCCCCTCTTCCACACACACACACACACACACACACACACACACACACACACACATACACACACACACACACCAGCAGAACAATAGCAGATAATCTTTTTGGATAATTGGTACTGTTGGTGAAAATACCTGTTTCTTTTCAATGTAATTCATACTATAAACTTTTCTTTTGTGTGAGTTTGTTGTTAATAGATCCATAGTTTTGTGTTTTTCCTTTTTACCTAGATAATGGAAATAGAAGAGCAGAAGCAAAAGCAATTGGAATTACTTGAACAAATTGAACAACAGAAGTTAAGATTAGAAACTGATTGCTTCAGGGCTCAGTTGGAAGAAGAAAAAAGAAAAAAAACTCATGAGGCTGAGACTGAGGTAGGATACAGGGAAATCTCATCTCTACATAGACCACTGGGGGATAAGAAAATACAATAAAACCTCAATATAACGGACTAATTCGGGGGAGGGGGTGTCTGTTAAAGCTGAAAGTAGTTATATAATAAAATAGGTTTTCCCAATGCATATGTTAGAAATTTAACGAATTAGTTATTTTACCTGTTTTTACTTATTAGACACGTTTCTGTAATTAAATCATGTATGAAAAGTTTAATTTCACAGAAAAGTTTTCTATGTGTAAAACTAATTTTAAATTTATACTGGAAAGAGCTAGTAAATGCATGCATTCACCAGTCACCTCAAGTAAACAAATGCACATGGCTGGGGTGTGGCTTAGCACATGTGGGAACATTGGAGGCCACCTGCATTTAAACTGTTACAGAAAGTCACCCCACAAGTCAACAGAACACAAGTTACAGCAAGTGTGTCAAACTCAAAGGCTAACAGGAGCCAAATAAGCAACATTTAAGTTCATGTGGGCCGAAAAAAAGCAATAGCTTTAATTTTCATAGAAATATAGGTTTATTTCAGTAGAGACATACTGAATACAAAGGGCTGAAATAAATGAGTAATCATTAACATTGACTACACAAATTAATAAGCATAATGCAAATAAACCTATTTTTTTTGTTCTCTGAAAGCAAACTATTTCCTGTTGTGCTCACCAAACAAGTCAGTCCAAGATTAATGTAATGAGTGACCATCGGCTACTAAAATATTTGCTGCTATTAATAGTATTAGTGGAGAGAAATGGTATGCCTGCGCATAAGGCGCATAAGGGAAATGAATGCAGCATGATTATAGTAATCAGTCATTAGCAAATGTTGTAGTTCATTTTATTTTTTTTTTAACTTTTTTAAAAAATATATATTTTATTGATTTTTTATAGAGAGGAAGGGAGAGGGATAGAGAGCTAGAAACATCGATGAGAGAGAGACATCGACCAGCTGCCTCCTGCACACCCCCTACTGGGGATGTGCCAGAAACCAAGGTATATGCTCTTGACTAGAATCGAACCTAGGACCCTTTAGTCTGCAGGCTGACACTCTATCCACTGAGCCAAACCGGTTTCGGCTGTAGTTCATTATTAATAATTATGTATAACAGGATATTATAAAAATTAAGTTACAAAATTTTTATTAAAACATTTCTTAAATATTGTTACACTGGCTGTGCTGAAAAAATATTTGTTATGGGCTGCATGCTGCCCATGGGCTGTGAGTTTGATATGCTTGAGTTACAATAAGAGAAGTGGTATGGTCACGTGCCAATCATTTGTTGAATATTGTTTTGAGCAGTGACTCCTGGATTTAAATATGTAGACTATAGTTAGTGTTATATAATTTGTATTTACGTCGACAAAATTATTAGTGTTTTTTCCAACATATTGCATGTTTGCTAAAATTTGTTAAAAATAACATTGAATTAATAACAAAAAGTAAACGTTGTTTATAAGGAAATTTGATTTAAAGCATTTAAAAATTAACAAGGTTTTTTTAAAAATATACTTTATTGATTTTTGACTGAGAGGAAGAGAGTGGGATAGAGAGTTAGAAACATCGATCAGCTGCCTCTTGCACACCCCCCACTGAGGATGTGCCTGCAACCAAGGTACATGCTCTTGACCGGAATCAAACCTGGGACCTTTCAGTCCCCCATCCGATGCTCTATCCACTGAACCAAACCGATTTCGGCAAAAAATTAACAAGGTTTTAATTTTTACATATGACATACAGACTGGAAACTTTGTCCATTAAATTTAAAGTCTTTTAAATCAATGTCCGCAAAATGGAGGGCATATGGTATAAGAAATCATAGCTTTCAGAAAAGCAAAATGCATTTCTGATTCTTATTTGATATTTTCTTTCTTTTAATCATGTATATATATATATAAAGTTGTATATATAAGCTCATTTATATGTTTATGCAAACCTGGTAAACACTTTCAGCTTCTAGAACAGTGGTTCTCAACCTTTCTAATGCCGCAACCCTTTAATTCAGTTCCTCATGTTGTGGTGACCTCCAACCATAAAATTATTTTTGTTGCTACTTCATAACTGTAATTTTGCTGCTGTTATGAATCATAATGTAAATATTTGTGTTTTCCAATGATCTTAGGCCATTCTGAGAACTGTTAGCCTAGGACCATTGGAAAATACAGATATTTACATTATGATTCATAACAGTAGCAAAATTGCAGTTACGAAGTAGCAGGAAAAATTGTATGGTTGGCGATCACCACAACTTACGGAACTGTATTAAAGGGTTGTGGCATTAGAAAGGTTGAGAACCACTGTTCTAGAGGGTGTCAGTGTGTGTGACCATAATTTGTATTTAATGGGTATGCTGAGCTCTTGGACTTGTTTGATACCAAAAGAAAATGGTAAATGACTTTGTTTTTTAATAGTGGAAGTGCCAGTCTTTTATTTTAAAAAGTAATAATAAAACTATATGAAGTTAATTATAGAACTTCATTTTAGTACTTGTTTCTGGGTTTGCCTTTTAATTTGTAGCTTTGTCTTTTATTAGGTTGGCACTTCTCAAGCATCATGCACCATAAGTACTGAGGAAGAGAGTCATAGGCAGATGATTCGCAACTATCAACATCAGCTTTTACAACAAAAGAGGTATTAGTGAGGGTACAATTCATGTGTTATAGTGTGTGGCTACATCTTCAGGGTTTATTTTTTATATAAATATCTGATCGGGATTCCCTTAAACTTATAGCATATAGATTTCTTTACGGGCAGTGTTAACATTGTTCCTTTTCCAGCATGATTCTGGCCCATCCTAGATTGCTATTGAATTTAATGTATAGACACTTGAGAATATGGAGCATTTTTTAATCAAAAAAGAATAATATTTATTTGTTTTGTTTTTGTGTTCATTTTTGGTAGGCTTCATAGACAATCTGTTGAAACAGCCAGGAAACAATTACTCCAATATCAGACTATGTTAAAAGGAAAGTATCCATCCATGCCAGAAGCATCATCAATATCTGATTCGGTTGTATCAGTCCCACTACGGAAATATGAAAGACCCACTATTATATCAGAACTTTGGGATCAAGGTCAGAGACCCAAATTGAGCCCTAACAAATATGAACCTATACAAACCAAACAGATCCCCCAATTAGAACAAGATTATTTTCAGGTTCCAAGGCAAAATTACTTTCCACAAAGACAGGTAGGGAAAACAGAAACAGATGCTTTAGCGAAGAAATGTTTGGGATCACAAGAACAGACAAAGCAATTTTCACAGACTGAAACAAAGCAGAGAGACTATAAATCAGTTCCTAAAGATTCGCATATACATTCAAGGACTTTATCACATGATAGGCCACTGATACTGCAGCATGCTAATGAAGTAGCTGGGACTTTAGACTCCCAGCAAATGTTCTCAGAGAACAATGAAAATACATCATCTAAGCCAAGGGAACCTTCTTCATTCCTACCACTGTTGGCTGAGCATTCTTTTGTATCTCTGCCTACTGAAGTTGAATTTGGAAAAATTCAGGAACCCTTGTCAACAATGAGCAAAGACACAGTTTCTATAAGCCACCCTGTAATCAGACAAATGCAGGATAAGTCTTTGCCATCCTCTGGGAACATCACAGCCCAGAAAGGTCATTTGAAGCTTCTCCAAGAGCAATTAGATCTACAGAAGGAAATTCTTCGGTCAAGACAGGAAGCCCAGGAACAATTGCTTTTAGGCAAACAAAAAGACTTAGAAGGGCAAACCGGCACCTCTATGTTCTGTCCATTGGTACCTGTGGATTCATTTGCTTCACTGCCTTCTGTCAGAGCTGCATCAGGGAGAATCCAGGAACTTTCTCCAACCAAGAATGACACTGCAGTTTCCTCAGGCCATCCTGGGGTCCCACAACTTCAGGATAGGCTTTTGGGTTTTTCACAGTCTATCTTATCACAGCAAAAAAAATTAAAATTTCTTCACGAACAGTTAAATATTCAGAGAGACAGGATGCAGGCCAGGCGGGAAGCCCAGGAAGTATTACATGTGCACAAACAGGGTGAGCTGGGTGGAAGAGTATGGTCTGAACAGACTGAGCCACCTTCTCTCCCCTCGCAGGTAGCTCAGCATACATTTCCTCCATTCAATTCTGCAGGTACTCAGTCTGGAAAAATCTGGGAGCAGAGTTCATCTAAAAATGAGGAGGGACTTCTTTCAAACCAATCTGAAATCCCCAAATCTCAGGACGGCTCTTTGAGTTTCCTGCAGCAGTTCCTACCTTTGCACAATAGTTTGAAGCTACTCCAAGAACAACTGACTGCACAGAGGGATGCTCTTCAGGCGAGGCATGAAGCCCAGATGAAATTACTTTCACACAGACAAAGGGATTTGAGAGACAGTAAGTCTGGACAGATGAGTTCTTCATTCCCACCAATGGGTTCTCAGCGTTCAGCTGTGTTGCAAGCTTCTGTTAAAACAGAGCCCAGAAGAGTTGAGAATCCTTATTTGTCTGAGAAGGAAAGTACTATTCCCATAAGTCGCTCAGTAATCCCAACATTTCAGGATGAGTCTTTCAGATCTCCACAGCGTAGCCTGCCACAGCAAGAAAATTTGACAGCGCTCCAAAGTGAATTTGAAAAAGGAATTTCTTCTGAACAGACTGACACCTCTTTATCCCTAACCCAAGGAGCTGAATCTGAAAGATGCCGGGAATTTTCGTCAAGTGACAGTGCAGGTCCCTTAAGCCATTCTAAGATCCCAAGGTCGCAGGAAAGATTTCTGAGATTTTCACAGGGTCATTTGGAGGAACACCAAGAATGGCTAGGCACAGAGGAGGCCCTTCACGTTAGCCAAAAAACCCAAGGAAATTTATCTTCTGATCAAACTGGTTCCTCCTCATTTGTACCACAGTTAGGACACATTTCATTTGCTTCAGTACCTTCTGAATCTGGTAAAACCTGGGAACCTTTTTCAACAGAGAGGGATGGTAAAATTCCTTCAAGCCATTTTCAGATCCCAGAATTGCAAGATAGGCTTTTGAAGATTTCACAACTTATCCAGCCTCAACAAGATAATTTGAAGGCGCTTCAAGAACAGTTAGCTGCACAAAGGGAAGCCATCATTCAGTCTAGACAGGAAGCCCAGAAAGAACATGAACAGAGGGAGTGGAGGGAAGGAATACCTCCTGAGCAGGCTGACACCTCTTTCTTCTTACCCCTAAGGGAACAGTATTCATTTGCTTCATTACCTCTAACTGAATCTGTTATAATCCAAGAATCTTGCCCAACTGAGAGTGCTAATACAGCCTCCTCAAGTCATTCTGAGATACCAAGATTGCCTGCTCGTCTTTTGGGTTTACCACAGTCTGTTTTACCTCAGCTTGTATTGCCCAGACAAAATAAAGTTGAGGAAAAGTTATCTTCTGAGCATTTTATTCAGCCTCACCATCGTGATTTGATGGTACTTCAGCAGCAATTAGATCTACAAAGGGAAGCCATTCGATTTAGGCAAGAAGCCCAGGAAGAATTGCTTTCGCAAAGACTAAGTACATTGGATAAAAGGGTATCATCTGAGCAGGTTAGCTCCTCTTTAGCCTTATCCCAAGTAGCACTGCCTGTTGACTCTGAAAGAATCCAGAAGTCTTTTCCAACCAGATCACAGGATAGGCTTTTAAGTTTGTCACAACCTAGTCTGCCTCAGCAAGTTCATTTGACAGCACACTTGGACTTGCAGAAGGAAATGGTGCCCTCTGATGAGAAGGCCCAAGAGGAACTGCTTCTAACCAGAAAAGGTAAGTTGATTGAAAGTGAATCTTCTGCGCATACTATTCCTTCTTTGTTCTTACCCAAGGAAAGAGAACATTCATTTATTTCACTACCTTTTGCTGAAGTTAAAGACATTTGTGAATCAGATTCATCCAGAAATGAACATATAGTTTCTTCAAGCAATTCTGTGACCCCAGAATTTCAAGGTAGACTTTTAAGTTTTTCACAGTCTAATTTCACTCAGCAACATAATTTGGGACTTCAGAAGCAGTTGGATGTACAAAGAGAAGTTATGCATTATAGCCAAAAAGCCCAAAAAGAACTGCTAGTACAGAGACAAACCGCATTGCAGCAGCAGATACAGAAACACCAAGAGACCTTGAAGGATTTCCTTAAAGACAGTCAGGTATGTATTAAACTTGAGTACCTAAGAATTAAACAATGACATTAACCCAACTCAGATAAGCTAAATGTTTTCATCTTAGGCCTGAATAAGATCTTTGTTATTGAGAATAAGCAGTTTGACCTTAAGTGCTTTCATTTTCTATCTTAAATAATATGAAAATTAAAACATAAGCACTACTTCGCATGGTGTTTATGAGGTTAATAGTTATTTGAAGCCCAACTAATTTCAATCAGTATTTTGATACAACCAAATGCAAACACTTTTAAAAAAAAGTGTGTGTGTGTGTGTGTGTGTGTGTGTGTGTATGTGTGTGTATAATATATATATATTAGAGAGGGGGAAAGAGACAGAAACATCAATGATGAGAGAGAATCGTTGTTTGGCTGCCTCCTGCATGCCCTCTACTGGAGATGGAGTCCCCAATTCAGGAATTGTGCTCTTGACTGGAATTGAGCCCATGACCCTTTAGTCTGCAGGGGTCGATGCTCTATCCACTGAGACAAACCAGCTAGGGCAAATGCAAACATTTTTATTTACTTATTTTTAATATATTTTACTGGTTTCTTATAGAGAGGAAGGGTGAAGGATAGAGAATTAGAAACATCGATCAGCTGCCTCCTGCACACCCCCCACTGGTGATGTACCTGCAACCAAGGTACATGCCCTTGACCGGAATCGAACCCGGGACCTTTCAGTCCGCAGACCGACGCTCTACCACTGAGCCAAACCGGTTTCGGCTAAAATCTCTTATTGAAATGTACAATGGAGGCTGTTTTAGGTTGAAGCCTGTGAGTGGTTATACTTCCCAATGGAAATATATCATCCTTTCAATATTAGATACCTTTCTTATTTTTTATCTACGGAAAAAATTGTAATAGTGTGATTGATGGAACTGTGTATTTGGTTGAGGTTCTAATTTAAGAAGGAGTTATTATTTTAATGAATGCTTCCCATGATCCTTTATCCTGTGCCATCTCCACCATCATCTGTCCACTGTTTCAGACAAGTAAGCCCACTCTTGAAAATGACTTACAACACCAGATGCTCAGAGAGTGCCTTCCTCATTTCCAAGGCCAAGCAAGAGGTGATCACAAAAATATTAGTTCTATCGACAGGAGCAACTCTGATGATAATCAGCTGCTTTCAGAAGGTAAGTCCCAAACAGAGTAGTAAGATAATTGGATTTTATTGTAATTACTAGAGGCCTGGTGCACTGAATTTGTGCAGGGGTTGGTGGGGAGGGGATGTCCCTCAGCCCAGCCTGTACCATCTCCAATCTGGGATCCCTCTCAACAATCCAGAACTGCTGGCTCCCAACTGCTTGCCTGCCTGCCTTCCTGATTGCCCCTAACCGCTTCTGCCTGCCTGTATGATCACCCCCTAACCACGCCCTTGCCAGCCTGATCATTGCCTAACTGCTCTCCTGCCAGCTTATTTGCCCCTAACTGCCCTCCCCTGCAGGCCTGATCACCCCTAACTGCTCTCCCTTTCATGCCTGGTCACCCCTAACTGCCCTTCCCTGGAGGCCTGGTCACCCCTAACTGCCCTCCCCTGCAGGCCTGGTCCCTCCCTACTGTCTTCTCCTGCTGGCCATCCTATGGTGGCCATTTTGTGTACACATGGGGGCAGGATCTATGACCACATGGAGGTAGCCATCTTGTGTGTTGGAGTGATGGTCAATCTGCATATTACTCTTTAATTAGATATAGAGGCCTGGTGCATGGGAGGGGGCCAGCTGGTTTGCCCTTAAGGGTGTCCCAGCTCAGGATAGGGGTTCCCTTGGGGCATGGGGCAGCCTGGGTGAGAGGCCTGTGGTGGTTTGCAGGCCAGCCAAGTCCCCCAGCAACCCAAGGGGAGGCCCTGGTATCTGGGATTTATTTATCTTCTACAATTGAAACTTTGTAGTCTGAAACAAAGCCAAGCCTTCTGCTCACTCTATGGCTGCAGCCATTTCTGTTGGGATTTATTTACTGTCTGTAATTGAAACTTTGTAGCCTTAAGCGGAGGCCTGGATCAGCAAGGGCAGGTGGAAAGTTTGGCTTCCTCCATCGCCTGGGAAACCCAAGACTAATCTCCTGCCCTCTGTGGCCTCAGCCATCTTGGTTTATTTGCATATTCACTCCTGATTAGCTTGTGGGTGTGGCTTGCGGGTGTAGCAGAGGTATGGTCAATTTGCATATTGCTCTTATTAGATAGGATTATTCTTTGCTTTCACTTCCTACAGCTTGCTGATTAAAGAGAACTTTGTAGTATGTTAATAGATTGTCATAAATTTATAATTGACTTGATAGGTGAGCATCTGAACAAAGAACTGGGGAGGAGAGCCTCAAAACCACCTGTAGCAAAAGTTAAATGTGGATTGGACTTGAACCAACATGAACTTAGTATGATACAAGAGGTAGAATCACCAGCAAGCGGCAGACCTTCTATACTAGGTAAACAGATGGTTTGATAAAATGTGGTTTTGTAATAGTTTGACCGTTTTTTAGGATGCTAATTTTTTGTTGAAGAAGCTTGGTTGTGAAAAATAAATAAATAAATAAATAAATAAATAAATAATTTCTATAAATAGTATATAAAATTTGGTCTTAAATGTGGCATCAGGCCGAGACCGGTTTGGCTCAATGGATAGAGCGTCGGCTTGGGGACTGAAGGGTCCCAGGTTCGATTCCGGTCAAGGGCATGTACCTTGGTTGCGGGCATGTCCCCAGTAGGGGGTGTGCAAGAGGCAGCTGATCGATGACTCTCTCTCATCGATGTTTCTAACTCTCTATCTCTCTCCCTTCCTCTCTGTACAAAATCAATAAAATATATATTTTTTTTAAAAAAATGTGGCATTAGGTCCCTAGCTAGTTTGGCTCAGTGGATAGAATGTCAGCTGGTGCGGACTGAAAGGTCCTGGGTTGGATTCCGGTCAAGGGCACATACCTCGGTTGCAGACTCCTTCTCAGCCCAGATCCTGATAAGGGCATGTGCATGTGTTTCTCTCACATCTTTATTTCTTTCTGTCTTTCCCTCTCTCTTCCACTTTCTCTAAAAATCAGTGGGGGCGGGAGGGGGGGAGTAGTATTAGTTAACTGTTTTGGTGGTGGTGGTGTTTTTTTTTCATGTACTAATACATGGGGAAAACCAGTTTATTAGAGACAAAATTTCTTTGCTATCCCATATTCTGACACTTGCTTCCTCTGCTTTCTTTCATCTCTGCCTTCTAAACCTGTTTATTTTATAACTCGTTTTTTTCGCTTTTCCCTTGTAGCTTTTCTACTTAAGTATCTTTATTGTACCTATACTTTTATAGAATGGGTGTGCTTAAAATTCTGTCTGTTAGAAGAATTAGGTATATTTCTATGCTATACTTCTTCCTAGATCCCATTATCTAAAAAATTCTTCCTGGAGATAATTAGTAAATAGCCTTATTTTAATTTCATGATTATTTTTAGATTTCAAATTCACCAGATTAGTTTTCTTGATCAAATTTATCAAAGTAAATCCTTTTTTAAGGGAGAAATTAGCTTTGTCAATAGAAAGGAACATGAAAGTATTTCTATTAGTGTTAGTTATTTTGGTCTTTAACCATAAAATATTTTATCTTTGTTTCTGGCTAAACGAATTAAAGAAAATAGAGATTGAGAGCAGTTTTTTTTTTGTTTTGTTTTGTTTTTAATAATCCTCACCTGAGGGTATTTTTCCCATTGATTTTCACAGAGAGTGGCACAGATTGGAAGAGAGAAACAATGTGAGAGAGATATATTGATTAGTTGCCTTCCAACCAGGACTGGGGATCAACCCTGCAATCCAGGTACATTAGGTACATGCCCTTGACTGGAATTAAACCCTTGACCCTTCGGTGCACAGGCCAGTGCTCTAACCACTGAGCTGATGGTCAGGGCGAGAGTAATTCTTAAGAATCAGTCCCTTTTCTGCTTTCTTTTTATATCTTATGGAACTTGCAGCATAGAGTCATGGTTTTATTTATTTACTAGTGACCCAGGGCACAGATTTGTGCACATTGAAAGGAAATTAATTAGAAGGTGGCTGGGTGAGTCTGGACAAAAAGGGCTCAACCCGCCCTGGAGCCAATCTCCCAGGTGTCTGCAGAGTGAGTAGGGTCCCTCAGGCAGGTGGGACCTTTGGCCCGGCCTGTGGGGATCAGGCCAACATCGGCTCTCTGACATCCCCCTAGGGGTCCTGGAATACAAGAGGGCACTTTGCAAAGTTGCTGTTGTACAGAATGTGGAACACAAATGCAAATGTGCAGTAAACAGATTCAGGGCCAACAGTGCCCCAGCAACAATATAACCCATGGCTGAAGGTAGAATTGCACGACTCTGCAAGGAATCCGGCTCCCTCCTCTGGTTTTGGGGTGCATTACTCTAGAACTGCTGCTGCCAAGTCACTGCAGCCAGGCAGTTCCTGCGTTGAATGGCCGCCCCCTGGTGATCAGTGTATGTCATAGCAATCGATTGGATGGGCAGAGGGACACTTAACATATGAGCTTTTTATATATAGAGATTTAAAAAAAAGATTTTTATTGATTTCAAATAAGGAGGGAGAGAGAGATTAGAACATCAATGGTAAAAAAAAAATCGATCAACTGCCTCCTGCACCCCCCCCCCCCCCCCCACTGGGGATTGAGCTTGAAAACTGGGCATGTGCCCTGCCCAGGAATTGACCCAGGACCTCCTGGGAGCCATACTAGAAAAATGATTTTATTTATTCTAGGCTTTGAAAGTTTTTCTTCTATTTTGTGCTATTTGGCAAACCACAGCTTCAGGAATTGATACTTTCTCTAATTCACAATGAGTATTGGGAAATTCTTATCATTGATGCCTATTATTTAATGAGTCATGTTTCAGGTTTCATAATGTCTGCATGTCTAAAAGGGAAAGCTTTATACTGTTCCCTCAATCTTCACCTCCTGTCCTTCAGCCTTCTTTCTTCAGTTTAAAGTACTGAGATATAAGTTTTTACATTCTTTTTTTTTTTTTAATTTTTTTTTTACAGAGAGGAAGGGAGAGGGATAGAGAGTTAGAAACATGATCAGCTGCCTCCTGCACTCCCCCTATGGGGATGACCCTGCAACCAAGGTATATGCCTTTGACCGGAATCGAACCCAGACTCTTCAGTCCACAGGCCGACGCTCTATCCACTGAGCCAAACCAGTTAGGGCAAGTTGTGACATTCTTATCAACCTCTCTGACACCCAAAAAGTCAGTAGTTCTTCTCAGTTCTGCTTGGTGAGCTCTGGCATCTTGTCTACTTCTTTCCATTCCCACCACCACTCATTTAATTTGCGTCATCATTTCTTTATTTCTTCATTGGATGGCTGCTATATCTCCTAGTCTCTCTGGTTCTAATCTAGCTTTAATTCATTTTCCCATGATATATTCAGAGTACTCTCCCTATATTTCTCCCTGTTTAAAACTCTTCAGTGGTTTTCTTTTGATTCAAGGAGTAAGTTCCAATAACTCTAAGTCCCTACTTTCATCTACCAGGCCCCTCATCATCTTGTTCCTTCTTCGGGGTTGGCTTATGCTGCTTGTCCAATAAACTGTTCCTGAACTGTCAAGTATCTCTCTTGTGCTCTTTGGGAGCTTTCATTATAGCCTTTATCACACCACTTTAGGAATACTTTTAATCAAAATATTGCAAAGAGTTTTAAAAGCCAAATAGTACTCAAAGGTACATGAAAACAGCATTTCTTCCTGCCCTACATACCCTTGCCCCTAATCTATTCACCAGAGGCAGTCACTTTAAAGTCTTTTAGGCGTTTCTTGCATTTACCTCTGTAGTTGGCAGGGGATTTTAGAAAAAATTAAGCTAAATTAACACATGATGTATATTTTTCACTGCTGAAACTATTATTATGCTGTGATTATATTTCCTATTTGTAAAACTTTTCCTATAGTAAATTGTCTCCTTTTTTTCATTTGCTTAAAATTTTTGTTGACTGTCTTCCCACACTAATATTTTATTAAATACCTCTGATATAATTTGAGGTCACATCTCTTTCTGTTTGTAGAACACCTTTTAGTTGAAAGTTGGTGGGGCCACCATTTTGAAATGGCAATGGTCATCCCTTCCTTTAAATTAGCCAGTTGCTAAAGAGAGAATATTAAAAGCAACAAGAGAAAAACAGTTACCTACAAGGGAGCACCCATATAATTGTCAGCTGATTTCTCAACAGAAACTATGCAGGCCAGAAGGAAATGGTAAATATTCAAAGTGATGAATAGCAAGAACCTACAACCAAGATTACTTTACCCAGCAAAGCTATCATTCAGAATTGAAGGTCAGATAAAGAGTTTCACAAATAAGAAAAAGCTAAAGGAGTTCATTACCACCAAACCAGTATTAAATGAAATGTTAAAGGGTTAGTGAAGTCTCCAGGCATTATTCCTGAGATTCAGTACTGAAAGATTATCTAGTATTAAGTAGGTATTTCATTAAAAACTCAGTAAAATAGGGGACTCTTTCCCCCTCCCCACATGGGAGTCTGTGCTATGAGGTTCTTTACCCCTCCCCATGTAGGAGTCTGTGCTTCTTCAATAAATTTACACCCTTGCTATACCAAAAATATATTAAAATAATAATAATTTAAATAAAATCATCTAAAGGCCTTTGTGAAAGATAAGTAGTTTGTTGTGTGATTTTTTTTTTTTAATTTTAAAATTTTTTAATTTCAAAGAGAGGAAAGGGGGAAGGAGAGAGATAGAAACATCAGTGATGAGAGAATCATGGATCACCTGCCTTCTGCACACAACCTGGTCATGTGCCCAGAATGGAAATTGAACCATGACTTCCTGGTTCATGGGTCAACTCAATCATTGAACCACATTGGCCGGATAGTAGTTATTTTGTTGCTCTATAGGTCAACTCTTTAAGTTTAGATTTTTGCCCCATTTATATAAATTGCCATTTTAGTTTTGCTAGTGCTAGAAACTTAAGCAGAAGTCTAATGAGTCCATTTTTTCCCCTTACTAGATTCTTATCAAGACAGAGATCCCCTAAGGGTCTCTGTAAGTCGAGAACAAAGTTTTCTTAGGACTCCATTGGACTGTGATCCATTTGCTCATCCTCACCCGATTGCCCAGGAGAACATCTATGGTGACAACGCTAATGAAACAGGTGAGAGATAAAGACATTGAAAGTGGAATTGATGTGCACAAGGAATTTATTGTACAGTTATTTGTAATGAAAAATGGTAAATAATTCAATGACTTTTTGGGATTAGAATCATTATGGTGCACCCATACTATGTGATTCTGTGTAGTGTTAAATGACGGGAGAAATCGGTTCATGCATTGAAAAGTATCTGATGATAATCACCATAATGTTGGTACAGGTTTACTATTTTTGGAGACTGGGTTTTACTTTCTATTTATATGTTCACCTATAGATTTTTTTAAAAATAAGCATGTATTCTGTAGAGAAAAAAATTGAATGAGAGAGGTAAAGTGTATTTAAAGAATAATTAACTTTGTTTTTTTTTTTTTTTTTTGTTTGTTTTTTTTTTTTAAATCAATCTTTATTGTTCATATTATTACAAAGGTTCCTCATTTCTTCCCCCTTCCACCAGGTTCCCACCCCACCCTCTGCCCCCTCCCCATCCCCCATTGTCCTCATCCATAGGTGCAGTTTATGTTCAGTCTCTTCTTCCCTCAATTTCCCCGATAGTAAATCCCTTTTCAGATAGTAAATCAGTTACTTAGAATTTTCTCATATCAATAATACCTCCACATGCCCAATGATACACTTCACACAAAAGACATTTCCAAATAGGTCCACCAGCCTCATCTAGGCCCCACCCAAGGCACTCACAGATCAACACCCCAGCCCTATACTAACTCAACACATCCAGATCTAAGCCTTCATCACTTGATTCAGCAGACCCTCAAGTTCCCACGAAAGTTTCCAGCCATGTCTGAGAGGCAGCCATGGGGCAGGGGCAGGCGAGGAGTGAGCTGTTCCGGGCCTGGCTGCTCAGGGCCTGGCCTCTGTTGCTCTGGTTCGTTCCACAACCAGCTGCTCCGGGTCTGGTCACTGCCGCTCCCGACCTAGTTGCTCTGGACTTGGCTGCTGCTGCTCCGGGCCTGGCCGACCCAACCCGGCTGCTCCCCCGGGCCTGGCCGCTCCCAGCCTGGCAGCCGCTGCTCCGGGCCTGGCCGCACCCGACCCGGCTGCTCCCCCGGGCCTGGCCGCTCCCAGCCTGGCAGCCGCTGCTCCGGGCCTGGCCGCACCCGACCCGCCTGCTCCCCCGGGCCTGGCCGCTCCCAGCCTGGCAGCCGCTGCTCCGGGCCTGGCCGCACCCGACCCGCCTGCTCCCCCGGGCCTGGCCGCTCCCAGCCTGGCAGCCGCTGCTCCGGGCCTGGCCGCACCAGCCCCGCCTGCTCCCCCGGGCCTGGCCGCTCCCAGCCTGGCAGCCGCTGCTCCGGGCCTGGCCGCACCAGCCCCGCCTGCTCCCCCGGGCCTGGCCGCTCCCAGCCTGGCAGCCGCTGCTCCGGGCCTGGCCGCACCCGACCCGCCTGCTCCCCCGGGCCTGGCCGCTCCCAGCCTGGCAGCTGCTGCTCCGGGCCTGGCCGCACCAGCCCCGCCTGCTCCCCCGGGCCTGGCCGCTCCCAGCCTGGCAGCCGCTGCTCCGGGCCTGGCCGCACCCGACCCGCCTGCTCCCCCGGGCCTGGCCGCTCCCAGCCTGGCAGCCGCTGCTCCGGGCCTGGCCGCACCAGCCCCGCCTGCTCCCCCGGGCCTGGCCGCTCCCAGCCTGGCAGCCGCTGCTCCGGGCCTGGCCGCACCCGACCCGCCTGCTCCCCCGGGCCTGGCCGCTCCCAGCCTGGCAGCCGCTGCTCCGGGCCTGGCCGCACCCGACCCGCCTGCTCCCCCGGGCCTGGCCGCTCCCAGCCTGGCAGCCGCTGCTCCGGGCCTGGCCGCACCCGACCCGCCTGCTCCCCCGGGCCTGGCCGCTCCCAGCCTGGCAGCCGCTGCTCTGGGCCTGGCCGCACCAGCCCTGCCTGCTCCCCTGGGCCTGGCGGCTCCCAGCCTGGCAGCCGCTGCTCCGGGCCTGGCCGCACCCGACCCGCCTGCTCCCCCGGGCCTGGCCGCTCCCAGCCTGGCAGCCGCTGCTCCGGGCCTGGCCGCACCCGACCATCCTGCTCCCCCGGGCCTGGCCGCTCCCAGCCTGGCAGCCGCTGCTCCGGGCCTGGCTGCACCCGACCCGGCTGCTCCCCCGGGCCTGGCCGCTCCCAGCCTGGCAGCCGCTGCTCCGGGCCTGGCCGCACCCGACCCGGCTGCTCCCCCGGGCCTGGCTGCTCCCAGCCTGGCAGCCGCTGCTCTGGGCCTGGCCGCACCCGACCCGGCTGCTCTGGGCCCGGCTGCCCCGGGCCCGGCCGCTCCTAGCCTGGCCACTCCCGACCTGGATGCTCTGGGCTTGGCTACTGCTGTTTTGGGTCTGGCTGCTCCCACCCCGGCTGCTCTGGGCCCGGCTTCTCCGGGCCCGGCCACTCCGGGTCTGGGTGTTCCTGGACTGGCCACCCTGGGCTTGGCTGCCTCCGCCTCATGCCTGGCTGCCACTGCCCCAGGTCTGGCTACTCCAGTGCTGGCTGTTGATGCTCTGGTTCTGGCTGCTGTTGTTCTGGTGCCTGGCCGTTGCTGCTCCGGGTCTGGCTGCCACTGCCTTGTGCCTGGCCACTCTAGACCTGGCCACCGCTGTTCCAACATTCTGTCCTTTTTTTTTTTCTTTTTTCTTTTTAAAACGCATTTATGTTGCAATGTTGGCTGGTGAGTTGAGTTCTGACTTAGTCTTTGATTTTTCAAGATCTTCTTTGTATTCTTTCTTAAGTAATTTTACTATTTTTTGCTCTCACTTGATTTCTTCACATTGAGAACTTCTTTGGTTTCTTCCTCCTTGTCTTGGGAGCTCAGCAGGTTGGCCTGTGGCACCCCTTTGTTCTCCGCGGGCTCCTGCGCTGCTTCAGCCTGTTGCCAGGGACGGCGCCGCCCAGGAAGCAGCCCCCGGCCTTGGCTCCATTGCCCGAGCTCAGTGGTCAAAGGCTCAGGGGCACCCACGCCCCCAGGGGTCCCGAGCCCGCCTCCTTGTTGGTGCCCGGTTGGCTGGAGTCCGGCAGGGGCTTCCGCTCCCCTCCGTGTTCCCCCAGCCTAGAGCTTTTTTTTTTTTCTCCTTCCCGCTAGAGAAATCCAGCATCAGAGTCAACAGACTGTCCTCTGCGCGCAGTTTGCGCGAGTCCCACAGACTGTCCTCTGCGCGCAGTTTGCGAGAGTCCCGGGGGCCCGGCCTTTCGCGCTCTCCCCAGACTCCACCTCACAGCCCCGTCTCCCTCTGCCTGAGCCTGGGTCCCCAGGGATTAGCCCAGAACTGGGGTTCGGAGCAGTCAGGACTGAGGCTCAGCGCCGCCGGAGGCCTTGTTTCTTCCAGCTAGGGTAACCCAGCCTCAGAGTCAACATTCAGTCCTCTGCGCGCATTGCGCGCGACTCCCGGGGCCCTGCTTTTCGCCGTTTTTCCGCCTCACAGCCCCGTCTCCTCCCGCGGGAGCCTGGGTCCCCAGGGTCTGGCCCATAACTGGGGCTCAGCGCTGCCGGGTTCGGGGGGGTTCAGCACTGCCGGTTCGGGGGTTCAGCCCAGGCTGGGGGTTTTATTTCCTTCCTGCTAGGGAAGGAAAGGCGGCTCCCCGCCCTCTCCTCCTCTCCGGCTGCGACCTCTCCAAGCGTGCATGCGGGCGGACGCGCGCGCAGCATGTCTCCGTACCTTAGGCTTTTTTTCAGCTCCTCTGATTTTCTTTCTGGTTTTCTCTTTCCTTCTTGTTGTAGAAATTTCAGTCAGTCGACTACCTGTAGCTCTGGGCAATGTCCACTCTACATTTTAGTTGTATTCCATTGAAATTGTTGTGTGCTGCCGCTGCTAGATGTCTACCCGAGCAGCCATCTTGGATCTGAACTAACTTTGTTTTTTAATTGTTTCACTAAATAAATGCTAGTAGGAAGTATTTGAAGGTATGAGATTTTTAAAGTTGGCAACCTGTATAAATTTTGTGTTTAAGCCTTTTCATAACAATTCACAGTCAATACTATTAAACATTATCTTTCAAAAATTCTACATGTGGTTTTCTACATGACCTGTTTTGTTTTACTTTTAAATATTTGGAAAATAAAAAGGTTACAAAAAAAAAATACATTAAATAACATAACTCTGCCACCCAAAGACAACCAGTGTTAAGTTTCTCACTTTTGTATTTATGTATGTATATAAAAAGATGTTTTACATGTATATTATGCTTACTAACCATACAAAACGTAGTTCTAGTAATGCTTTATTAGTTGTAAAGCAACTTTTAAGCAGTTACTTTTTCTAACCAGATTTCTTTTTATTTTAGCTGTCACATATACTTGAGTAATTCTCCTATAGTAGAATGAGATGTGAGACCTTTTCTTTTTGAGGATTTATAGAAAAATTGACTGTAGCATTTTTTTTTAATGATTATTATTATTAGAGATTGAAATAACTGCAGAGGATATAATTTCCAATAAATTACACACAGGTTTTGCCCTACCTGGTTTGGCTCAGTAGATAGAGCAGTGGCCTGCAGACTAAAGGGTCCCAGGTTCAACGCCAGCCAAGGGCACATGCCTGGGTTGCGGGCTCAGTCCCCAGTAGGGGGCATGCAGGAATCAGCCAATCAATGATTCTCTCATCATTGATGTTTCTATCTCTCTTTCCCTCTCCCTTCCTCTTTAAAATCAATAAAATATATTTTTAAAAGAATTACATATAATTTTTGACACATAAAGTAAAACTACTACATTATTATTTTAGATTTAGCTAAAGGAGAATTGTATTCCCTTTTTGTTCTACCTGTTGATGCCCTCTAGCCAAAAACTACCAGGAACACACCTGTGGTTGAACAAAGCTGCGGTTTTGATTTGTTTTAGTCAAAGGTAGAGTGCCACTTCAGGGAACAATGAGATATCTCAATAAGAGGGTATTTGAAAGGACTTACTGGTCCCTGATCGGGTAGCTCAATTGGCTCCCAGTACATCAAGGTTTGTGGGTTCAATCTTTGGACAGTGCACATATATAAAAATCAACCAATGAATGCATAAATAAGTGGGACCAACAAATCAATGTTTCTCCTTTTAAATCAGTAAATAAAAGAAGAAAGGACTTAGTGTAAGACTTGGACTTCTATTAGGTGATTTTGTGAAAGATTCAAGGAAATGGGCCACTGTTTATTAGTATTGGATGTTATCTGAGAGCAGGGTAATTCTATTTTGGGGTACCTAAAAAATTCTTATTCAGGAGGTACCCTGTTTCCCCGAAAATAAGACAGTGTCTTATATTAATTTTTGCTCCCAAAGATGCACTAGGTCTTATTTTCAGGGGATGTCTTATTTTTCCATGAAGAAGAATACGGTACACATTTATTGTTAAATGAAAATAAAGGAAATTTATTACCTGTATACGGTACGGTAGTACGGTAGTTGTCAACACAAACCAGACAAACTGAATCCTACAGTATCAAGAATTTACTCATTTATTCAATGACAATCATGTCGTCATCTTCTGGAACATCATCATAACAATCCAATTCCTGAATTTCCTGGTGAATTTCTTGTGACTCCATTTCTTTCAGAACTAGTGGACCAAATCTCTCATGTTTAACCTAGGGGGGGGCCTTGTTTTCGGAGGGGGGGGTGCCTTATATTTCACTCAGAAGGAAACCTGTAAGTAGGTCTTATTTTTGGAGAATGTCTTATTTTTGGGGAAACACGGAAGGAATAATGGGATGAAGCAAATTAAAGCTGTAACTGGTAAAGAAGCAGTAGTCATGCATATTAGCCAGGATAAGATGCTTACTAATATTTGTGGTCTGGACTAGATTCATGATTGTGATTGTGTCTCTGTTCAGAGATGAGAGTGGGTGGTCTGGTTTTTGTCTTGATCCATCATGGTCACAGAGTGGCCTTTTCTGATATTGGTGTTCTTTGGAATTGTTATGTGTAACAGAACACCTGGGTCTAGCTAAGAGATTGTGCCAGATCAGTTCCTGGCTCTTGGCTGCCTTTCTCCTTCTCATATGCATCCCCAGATTCCTGTTGTTTCTATCTTAGAAGGGAAGGTCTTAGTTTTTGTTACTTCTCCATTCCCTCCCTACCACTTTACTCAGTACTTCATCACCTCACCTTTCTTTCTTAATAGCTTTGTAGGTGGTATTGCTAACTTCAAGCTCTGTACCCACTGCATGTGTAGGAAGGTAGGAAATGGGTTTTGCTTCAGAAGGAAAGCCAGAAATGTTGTCATCCTCATAGCATGGAAGAGTGCTCTGTTTAAGGTTTTGCTTTAATCCCCTTTTTAGGGACCTTCCAATGGGTCCCTCCTCCCACTGAACCATTTCCAAACCAAATAATTTCAGGGACCTGTTCACTGAATTCTTCAATGTCTTAAATAACTGATCTTGTTCCTTTCTCCATTTTTTTTTTTTTAAATTTTATTGGTTACAAAGAGGAAGGGAGAGGGAGAGAAAGCGATAGAAACATCAATGATGATTGAGAACCATCGACCGGCTGCCTCCTGCACACCCCACACCAGGGACCAAGCCTGAAACCCTGACATTGTCCCTGACCCAGTTTTTATTTTTTACTTCTTACCACTATTCAAATGCTACTCTGTTCACTTATCTCTCCTCTTGGGGAATCCTCTTCCTAAGGGTTTTATTCATAGAAAAACCATGACAACTACAGTTATTCCAGGGGGGAAAAAAGTATATTGTGCTGACTAGTAAATGTTTGAATGATAAAATGAATTTTTTCCCTTTTAGTTTTTTTTAGTCGAAGATAAGGCAACTCTATGAAGCAAAAGATGAAAAAACATTTTTTAGGAAATGATGCTCTCTGGAGCTAAGAATTTGATTTGTCATAATCCAAATCTTCCTCTCTCCCCATTCGCCCCCTTTTCAGTCAAGGTTAAAGAGACTGTGGTTGAGAATCAGGCAGTATTAACTTATGCTGTGGACAAAGAAGAACATACAAATCTGAGCGCAGCTAAAAGGCCAGTTAATAAGGTTGGTAATGTTTTAGTGTGCACTACATTGTTAGAGCTGTTTGGCTTTATATTCTCTTTTGTTTAGTTCATAAATGTTGTGAAATACTAAAGACTCTGTTCTCTGAGATCTGCTCCTACTGAAGTGGATCAGTGATGAAAATAGCCAAATCTGAGCATCAGAAGACCTTTCAGTCTACCTGATGCATGATCTCTGTAGTTCTGAGAAGCAAAAGTATAAAGTAGTTTAAAACAATAAGTGTGTACGTGTGTGGGCGTGTGTGTGTGTGTGTGAGAAGGTGACAGTGGATAACTGAGGACTTGCTGATGGATGAGTGAGATTGGGGGGCGGGGTATGTATGTATGAAAGGCTGGTCAGGTCTGAGCAATGATGACAAGATTTGACTACTGAACTTCGAAATTATGAAGGTTTCTCTATACTTGATCTGAGCTCAAAATTGGCAATTGCTGATGTTTGGATTTTTCTAGATTTTTACTTCTTACATTGTGGTCTAATGTTACCCTTATTTTTAGGCTGAAACACAGGAGATTTATCATGAGCCATCATCTTCAATAACTATTTCTACTGGAAGCTTAAGTAATGAAAACACAGATTTGAGCTTTACAGATCCAGGTAATAATGTCAAAATGTCTGTAAATAACTTGAAAGACCAGCACCAGTTCAGTTGTAGTACAATGGTGAGAGCAAGCATTGCTTTTCACATTGTGCTGAGAGGGATTATTATTTTTTTTAATTACAAAAGTAAAGTTTTTATGTCTGTTAGAATATTGGATATGATATTCTAAACATAATCGGAAGTCACAGGCATGCAGGTCCTTGAGGATGCTCTGTGGATCCCCAACAGTACTTTGAGAAGTATCCACTAATGGTCACATTTTCCCACTCAGTGGGAAGCTATCTCAGCAAATATCTTGATTGCACTGATTCCTTATCAGTGTTGCTATACCTCTCACCAAAATTTCTCTTTAAGTAACTAGCCATTACATATTGTCATTAATCTCAATTATTAGAGTCATTTTCAGAGCATGTGGAACATGGGGAACAAGGATTTACCACTGGCAAAGCAGCAGCAGCAAATATTTTAAGTTCTACAGTTCCTCCATCACAAGTTAACCTCTGTCCCCTGCAGCAGAAAAATTTATACCTGGTCAAGCACACATTCAGCAGATGATAGACAAGTACATAAATGAAACAAATTTAATGACTGAAAAAACAGACTTGGAGGGTAAATTATCTTGAACACATGCTTTTATATAAGCTGTAACTTTTAACTTTTTATCCCTTTTAGTTTTGAGTGGTGATTGTTTGAGCTCATGTTTTTATGGCCTGCTGCAGCAGTCATGCCAAGGACAGTGTTGAGGGCATTTAGTGAGATCAGGGACATGGAACCAGTTAGACTCACAGAAGAACAAGAGCTCAGCAGATCCTCCTCCACCGTTGGAAAGTTAGCTCTAACAACTTGAGGGCAGTATGTGTTTTAGGTATTGAGAACAAGAATTCAGAAGTCAAGCAGACGTGGATTTGACTCCTAGTTTTACCATTTTACTAACTGTGAGACCATGGGCAAGATACTCTTTCATCTTCTATAAAGAGGGGTATTGGAGATGAAATGAAATAATGTACATAAAGTACAATGTCTGGCCCATAGTAACACTCAGATTTTCTGTTTTTAATCATTGACCTGAAATGTGCTACGTCAAAATAGCAAAGCTTATAGCAAAGTAGTGATCACAATGGCCTCCTACACCTAATTAACCTCATAAAATTTTGGGCCTCCTAGAAATGGAGACATATTTGTGAAAGATTTTGATCATTGAGAGTGTCCCCATTTTTTATGCATTGTAAGTAATAAAGGACCTAATTTGAAAACTTCTGTTGGTAATGAAAACAATGGATTTTTGTTTAATGGGATTTGCCTAAAAATAAGTTTTTATAAATAAGTTCTTAGTACTACCTTTCTAGGCTTTATTTGAAAAAGAAATTCATCTTTTCCCCTCTCACCACCCCCCCTCAAAATTCCAACAGTTGATCTTGACTTCCCTGAATTGGAATACATTTTTCCAAGCTTGCATCGTCAGCTGTTTAAACCCTTGGAACCACAGCCAGATTTTGATTTGTCATCCTTATCCTTCGGGATTTCTCAAGAGAGCAGGGACCAGGTATGTTAAAGTGGATGCTTCATTTCACTGAATTGCCAAGAAGTTTGCCAAATTTTCGTCCTTTAGAACAGAACAGTGATTGTTAATCTTGGTTGCCAATGAAAATCATGTGGAAAGCTTTTAAGAATCCCAGTGCCCAGATGGCACCCAGACCAGAATCTCTAGTACTGTAATCAGATATCAGGATTTCTTTTAAAGCTCCCAAAGTGACTCTAATGTGGAACCAAAATTGAAAGAAGCTGCATTAGAATTGTAATTCAGCCTTAAACAGTTCAGGTAAATACAGTTTTGCGAAATTTAAAGTCTCTTCCTACCCAAGGGGTTAAGACTCAAACCACGGTCTTTCTACTTCCTGACATCCTGGGCTGCTATACATAACTCCTGCCTATCAGAAAATAATGTCAGCTCTGGCTGGTGTGGCTCAGTTGGCTGAGCTTTATCCCATGCACTGAGAGATAACTGGTTCAATTCCCCTCAGGGCACATGCCCTGCCCCAGTTGCAGGCTCAGACCCCAGTAGGGGGTATGTAGGAGGCAGGCAATTGATGCTTCTCTCTCATTGATGTTTCTTCCTCCCTAATATCAATTAAAAAAAAAAAATTATATATATAACCAGTTTGGCTCAGTGGATAGAGCGTTGGCCTGTGTACTGAAGGGTCCCAGGTTCGATTCGATTCCAGTCAAGGGCATGTACCTTGGTTGCGGGTACATCCCCAGTAGGGGGTGTACAGGAGGCAGCTGGTCGATGTTTCTCTCTCATCGATGTTTCTAGCTCTCTATCCCTCTCCCTTACTCTGTAAAAAATCAGTAAAATAAAAAGTAAAAAAATAAAATCTCATCATGTTCTAAACTCAATCTGATTAATTTGTAATTTGTTTTATAGATAATCTGTTTTTAAAAGTCTTTCTCATATTGACTAAAATGGAAGAAGTAGGTTTGAATAAGCAAATTATTAGTGTGATATTCAGTTGGCAGTTAATGAAGAGTAATATCAAAGGAACATGATTACTGACTCAACTTGTAATACCTAATCAACACTTGAGCATTTCCCTGTTGTTTTCCTTCAGAGCTCAGAGGAGTCAGGTGAAAGCCACCATGCAACTCTCTCCCCCAAAAGAACAGCACTGAGGACCACCAGCCTGCCTTCTCCTCTTAACACAAGCCTGAGCCAGCGACCTGACCCTAACCTGACTCGTGATGCAGCTCTGAGTTTTGGCACAGAAAATATTATTGAGGGTATGTATGATTCAACTACAAAAAGTTTAAAACCCAATATATTTTTCTTGATTGTTTGCATCCATTTTTCTTAAAAATTGTGCCTAACAACTCTTGGTTTTTCTCCATTCCTGTCCTCACCTCTGCCCCCAGTGTTACAAGTTTTTTCTTTGTGTATTTGTTTAAATAACAGAGGTAATATATGCTTACTTGGCAATTTTCAGAGTAGTGGACTTGATAAAAAAAAAAAAGTTCTTGCTCAACTTCCCTACCTCAATACTTATCGTAAAACTTTTTGCACAAATTTTATGTACCCATAAATATGTTATAGCAAAATCAATATTTGGTTATTTTATGATGGAAAAATCTCAGTTTTGAATAGTCATATTTTTTAAAAGTAATATTAAAATAGAAAATACATGGTGGTGTGACCAGTAGTGTTATTTGAAAGTCACTGTGACCACCCTTTCGCTTTTTATTCATGTTTATATATATCAACTTTCCTAAAATTATAGGAAATTATAGGGACTGTATTTCTAACCAAGTTTTATAACATACGATGATTAACTGACCTCTTAAACTTAATTGCAGGATCTGAACAATCTTTTCAACAGCTTCTGCCAGAATTTTCTTCACAGGAGGGGAGCCAGCATGCTGATCTACCAAGTATTTTTAGTATTGAAGCAAGAGATTCTTCCCAAGGCATGGAAAATCAGTACGCCTCTGAATCAACTGACGTATTACAAGATAAGGGGAAAAATGTTCATTTCCAGCTCTCTGCAGGAAATTTGAAAAGTCCAGTGTTCAGTTCATCTGCTGAGGCTAATGTATTTCATCAATTAAATATACCGCATAGTACTCCATGTGGTTCTACCACCAGTGAGTGCTCAATGAAAGACCAATTAGAAGGCCAAAGAGAAGGCCTGGGCTTTGAAGAACTTTCAGAAAGGGGGGTTGGTAAAGTGTTACACAGTCAAGGGTTCGCTGAAGAGAATAAAAATGAAACCTGTGGAGTTTTAAGTGTAAATCTTCATGTACAGGAAATTGACTCACAATTATGTGTCAGAACAGTGGAGATGGGAACTTCAGTTCAGATACCACATACTACTCAGAATGAAAAATACTTTGAAAACTCGACTAAAGCAGAAAATCCAAAAATCATGTCAAACCTATCTCAGCCATCACAGTCAGAGCTGTTTTCCACTTCTGGATCGTTTTCACTACAGAACTCTGTTCCAGTCTGGGTAAGTGAATTCTGCATTATATAAATAGCATTTAGAATGCTTTACCAATATATTTTTTTTAATATTTGCGTTTTCTTTTTAAGATACTGGCCAAAAAATACACACACAAACTGTTTGTGTGTGTGTGTACTAGTAGAGGTCAGTTAATCGTATGTTATAAAACTTGGGTAGAGATACAGTCCCTAAAAAATTTATATATACTAGTATATATAAGTGTACGTTATAAATTAAAGTAATTATTAAGAGTAAAAATAATAGTTTCCAAACCAGCAATTAAAATAGAAAGTAACTTTAATTCAAAGGCAGAAAAGGACAAAATAACATTCAACAAGAAAAATTAAAACAGCATAAAAGTCCAAACCCAGGGGGACTTTTGAACCAAATTTTAAGAGAAACAAAGCTAATCATCAGAAATCTCCAAATTTTGAGATCTCTGGATTTTACTGAAGATTTTCCTCATATACCTTCTCAGCTTCACTGAAGAACATTGACCAGTCCATTCTTAGCACTTTCAGTGTTTGACCCTATTGCATTGCACTGAGTCAATCCAGTGATTTTTCAACCTTTTCCGTCTCATGGCACACATAATTACTAAAGTCCTAAGACACACCAAAAATTTATTTTTGTGGATCTGATTTTTTTTTTTTGATGGTATGATTTAGATTACTTTATACAAGATGGCTTAAGGGCAAAGAAGTCAGTGCCTGGCTAAATAGCCACAGTGCACCAGTTAAAAATTGTTGCAATAATCTATTTTGTTTCAACTCATCACCTGAATATAGTATTGCTTGTCAACATATAGACCACAGACATGATTTGGCTTTTGGATTATTGTAAATTGTTTACTTTTTAAAGGATGGTATTTCCCTTAAGTGGCCTGCATTTGGCTTCAACCCATTAGAGCTACTCCCTTTAGACAGTCTATGCCCTCTGGTTCCCCACTAAGGCCTGTGATCCTTTGGGTACATAATCCTTACAGAAGGTATTTTCAATTATCACATTTTTTTCAACCCTCCCAGAGTCCTCCAGTATTTCTAAAAGTAGGGGTGCACTGCTCCTTTGTGGTTCTTCCTCCAGAATTTAGTTTCACATATTGACTGTTTTAAGGCTATTACTTTTGGACATGGTTTTCTTGATATGGTTTTATTTTTAATTTTACTGCACAGGAGACAGAGTCTGGCCATGGGATAATGGAAGAACCAGAACTTACGTTAGTAAGCAGCAGTGACATCAGTATTACTGAAATGGATTTTGCAAACTTATCCATAGAAGAAAAGAATGAGGCAAAAAGTTTTCAGGTAATTGTCTTAATTATACACTTGATACAGCAACCCATAGCCAAGAATTAGGGAACATTAAAAAATACTGGTTTCACTTTTCCACAAGTCCATTCTTTTTCCCATTAGAATTATCTGCAAACTAATTCTCTTCCCTATATTGTGGTTTTCTGCAAGTACAGTAAACTTCAGTGAACAGGCAGCTTACTGTGCTCAGAGCAGAATCTGACAGTTGACAGGAAAGAAATAGTCCTCAATGTTTTACTTTTTACAAACTCAAGCCAAAACGCATGCCAGGGAAGATCTCAAATGCTTCTCAATACATGTTTCTAGATTTCACTCAGGCTTGGGTTAGAATTGTTTCAAAGGTGAGGCAGCAAGATAAGGAAATCTAGAACTGAAATGGATATAAAAAATGCTATTCTATTGCTTTAGAAATTTACTCTGAGAATTTAGAAATGCACACTCCCATTCCTTTTTTCCACAAGCAAACCATGTTTCTTGCCTGGCTCATATGAATTCTCAATTCTATGCAAGTGGCTTAGGTGGAAAGTTAGTCACTATTGTCCAGTACAGCTGGCCAAATCAAGACTCCCTAGCCAGAAAAATTCAATCCTAAAGCTGAAAAGGGTTTAGCTAAACTTTGCTATACTTAAGATTTCATCTGTGACTTTCTTGCAATTAGGAGAGTGAATTTTTGCCTCTTGTACCAGACCAGAAAACAGCTGCAGTATGTGCAGGTATGCCTTAAACATCTGAATCTAAGGGCTAGTTGGGAGTTCCCTCCTCAAGTTGAAGTTCCAAGCTTGCATGTTGCTCAATAAGGTGAAAATAGCTTCAACTTTTTCCCCCACCAGAAACCCTCTCAAAGTTTACAGCTGCACCAGGAAGCTTACAAGAAGCATTTGCAAAAAGAAAAAAATCATTTATAGAGAGATCCTGCCAGAGACAGAAAGAAATAAGGAATAAAATACATGTCTCTAGAAATACTGAAAGCCAAGTAGTTAAGGCAACACTTAATATAGGTAAGTTCTCAAAAACATTTGCATAAATTTCAGAAAGGAAATCTGGCTTGTCAAATTACTTGAATCTGGCTCACATACTTTTTCTCTGATCAGGTTCACCTGTGAGTAGCCTAAAAAGTAAAGTTAAAGTGTCACTTTCCAAAGACAGAAAGATTGCACAAAACCTCAAGAACCAAAGGACTCCAAGGTGTGTATATGTGGGTGGGTGCATGCGTGCTTTTGTATTGTTTACATATCTGTCTTTAATTCCACATAAATTTCTTATAGGTTGCACAACCAGTTAGCTGAAGTAAAAGGGCAAAAGGAAGAGAAAGCAAAACAAGAAGCTTATGCCCAAAACAGAGCTAGAGCAAAAGAATTTCATAAGGTGAGTAAGGTGCAAAGTGGTTTTTCATGTCAAAGGTATACAATTGAAACTAAATTTTACTTTTATTCCCTCCACAGAAAACACTAGAGAAACTTCGAGCCAAAAGTGCATGCTGACTTTCTACAAAATGTATGGAGGGCTTTTATTATTTGTAACACAGTCACAATTATTTAAAGTTAATAAACTTTTATTTATTTAAGGAATTTCACGTTCTAAGTTCTTCCACTGCCTTAGTTCCTCTTGAGTTTGCGTCTTAATCATCTTACTCCCTAAAAGAAGAAGAGCAGTGGTTAAACTTAGAAAATTATTTAATTTACTTTCCCACCTCACCAATCACTAATATGAGTAGCTAAATCATATATCTCTTCAGGACAAAATAGACACTATTGAGAGTGTCTATTACATCCTATGGAGAACTTCAATTTTAGGTCACAGCGTTAAGAGCTCCTGGTTTTAGTTCCATAAGCTCTCTTTGAAATGACCCATAAATTACTTTTTTTCAGATGTGTACATACCTTTTTTTTGCTCAATCCTGATGTCATTTCAACCAGTCCTATATAAGAGGAATAGAGATTATCATGATCACAAGCTCTATGGTAACTGAAAATGTTTTAGTTAGGGACAAGGGACATAAAGGCCACAGATATCTAAGATAGCTATCATCAAATCTCACTGATTACCAATAGCTATTACAAAAACCTCCTATAGCTTATGTTAGATTTATAGTGGACAGTGAATTGAGTTTAGTAAAATGTTCCCATTAGGCTGAATGCTATGCTATTAACATAGCAGGAAAAAAACCTATTGGGGAAATGTTTTGTGGTCATGTCCACGGCAAATAAGAAACTGCATTCTAAAAGCCTTGGTAATGACCATTATACTTTGGTGTGGGGTAAGATAAAGACAACTTACCACAATCCTTTTAGCTGAGCTTCTTTGATCTACACTTGAACATGGACATGCTTCAAAAACTGCACCTATGGAGAAATATTTTAACATTCATATTGGACTAAATTTTTCAAAATACATTTCATTAGGTTCCAAAGTACCCCAACAACCAGTTCCTAACTGGCATATATTGAAAGTTCCAGGCTTGAAACTGAAAATAATTAGAATAAGCATCTTTTGATTGGGAACAAATCTTATTTTTAAAATAAAACTTTAGGAAATGTTCATTTTTCAGGGAATGCTTATCTTAGAGCTCTCATGTTTTAAAATATTTATTTACTAGGGAGATGGATGTTCAGATGGCTATTTTTCATTCAGCTCATTCAGAGCAGTTGAACATTTTGCCCATCATCATAACATCATGCTGGTGAACAGTACAAACATAGCGGTCAGCCTTTTTTATGTCCAATCTTTTGTGGAATTAATAAGCCATCAGGATGGGGGCTACTGTAATAAATAAATGCAAGGACATTAATACTAAGGTTTAAAAAGGAGCTTAAGTTTCCTGTAAACTAAGAGGGAGTTTGAAGGAAAAAATTAAATTCTTACCTATAATCGTTGGGAGCTAATTTCCTCAAGCAATTTACTTTAGGGTCCTGGAAATTAAATATTAAGATAAACATTGTTATTTTATCAGGTGATGTAAGAAATACTATTCCTTAATTGTTTCTGAAATTGAAGTCTTTTTACTCTACTCATTGAGCCTGGCAAAAAATGTTACAGGTCTCATTGTCACCACTGTAATAAAATTACTGTGATGGAAGCATAACCTGTGTCTCAATGTAGCCACATTAACAAATTTCTGGACACCATACACAAAAACAGTGCCCATTTTCATATAGAATGAGGCTTTATAAAAGTTTTTCAGAAGCTTTTATGTACACTATGCAAAAGGTTTTGACAACTGTATAGAAGTTCCTGCTGACACTTGCTATTGATAAAGGAAAGAAACCCCTAGAAGCAACAGAAATAGAAAGGCTTACGTAGTTCAGGTCTGAATAGTATCTGCCTGGTTTTTAAATTTCAGACATCCTAGAAAAAGACAAGTATTAGTTTCTACTGAAGATTACTTATGTCTAACTGAACAGGAAGAATGTAAGAATGTCTCAATAAAAATACCAGGTTTAACATGCACAAAGCCAAGAAAACCAACGATGCCAGATACTGAATTTATATTGCACTGTCCTTTGAACACCCAGCAGGAATAAACTACTGAATGCAGATACCATGCAGTGCATTATGACTGAACCATAAACCCTTGAGGATTAAATCTCATTGTGTCAGATCCCGAAGCAGGTTAACCAATTGACAAATCTCAAAGAGGAACAGAGAGAAGGGGGAGATTAACCCAAGAACTTATGTGCATAACCCATGGACATAGTCAATAATGTGAAGGTCTGGGTTGGTGAGGGGAGGGAGAGCATCTATAATATCTTCAACAATAAAGAAGTTTTAAAAAGCTAATTTCTAATTGTCATGTTAATGAGGCAACCATATTAATGCAATAAACTATAAACCTAAGTCACTATTTCTTTATCCTCTTTGCAATAAAAATAAAGGTTACCATTCTTCAAACTGTTATTAGGTGGAATTCCTTCATTATTTTAACATTCAAGTCTGCATTACTAGGATGAACCATATGTAAAAGGGTGCCAAGAGGGAGGAGACATTTTCATTTGGTGTCCCTAGTCATGTAGTCCCTCCCCCAATTTTGTATATAAATACAATTACAGCAAATATTTTCACCAAGATATTGGCAATTCTACTTTATACCTAAACAACTATTAGTCACAACAGTAATGGAACGCCGTACAGCAATCCTCAAATTAGCATCTTTCTGTTCAGGTGTCCTTATCAAGTTGAGATGCCATAGGAACTTTTCTCATCATTTAGCCTATTGTCAAACTGACTTCCTTATACATCATTTCACTTAAGTCTCAGAACCTATCAAGTGGTAAAGGAGGACTTATTCTGCTCACAAATTGCATTTTTTCACTTTGAGTCCTTAATAAAGGAAAAGAAATTATATGTTCAACTTACCGCTAAACATGAATAAGTGCAAATCTTCACTCCTACAAATAGACCAAATAAAAAGATTAACAAATGCGTAATTAAAAACTAAAACTTAAATAGTGCTATATTCAGCTGTCAGAATTATGTTTTAGTTCATGTCTGTATCATTCAGCAGTTGAACAGTTAAATTCATCATCTGTACTGCAGTGGTACCCTAAGGCTGTCACAATGTCAACCAGTTAAAACTTACCTAAGCTATCACTCCCTAGAATAGTATGGATCTTCAGGATATACAAAAATACCTAAGATTAAAAAAATTAAAAAGATTATTAAGTCTGTTGCAGTTTTAGAAGCTGTCTTGTAACTCCTTCCCACAGATCTATCAGTTCTGTGAATAAAGGAAGCAACATATTTATTCTATGAGGCGTTTCCAACGACGTAAGTCTACAGAAAAAGACCCATCGGGATAGACCTCAATCATTTACACTTAAAAGTATCCCATAAAATTGATCACAAAGGATTCTAATAATGATTCTCAGGAAATACATACTGACCAACCCCTTCCCCCCCAAAATACATACAAAATAACAAGTAGCTACTCTAGATAAGTTAACATAATTTTTGCCTCAGAAATGAAGATCTATATGAAATATCTTCTCCTAAGCTACTTAGCAAATATAAAAATACAGGGTTTGAATGTGGCTTTATATATTTATGTTCTTACCACTTGAAAACTTTTTGCCTCCTAAACTTATAAAGCCATGCCCTGTGTAGTCATTTCTAGTATTAAATCTACCTCTATAGTCCAAATTCCAGTTTTGGGACCCTTTCCTGCAAGTAAAGTGAGGCTGACACTGTATCCCTACATAATGGTGATTCTCAAAATTCATTTTCTGAAATCATGTCATTATCAGAAGTTAAAAGATGGCAAAAAATCTTTTAATAATGAGATCTGTGGAGATTTAGATTATCAATGTTGACCCAAAAACTCACCTAAAGAGATTAATCCAGATATTGTGTTCAAGATGAAACCCTAATTAAAAAAAAGTCAACTTCGTTACAGTGTTATCAACAGCAAAATTAAAATACTAAAGCAGTATAGTTGATATTTCCCTTGTATTCTATGCTTTTTAAATTATCCTACAGTCCTGGAACCAGGGTTTTAGGTATTATGTTCCTTCTTATATGTATCAAAACTCATACTGAGCAATGAGTTCTGGGTTGCAAAAGAGGCTTTATTTTTAGCACTTATATGTAGTTTTTGTCCACAAATTACAAAAACAAACGTAAGTGCTATTGTGAAATGCAGTGTATTTAGCAATATAATTGGTAATATTTATGGCGAAAAGACAAATGATAGTTAATATTCCAGGCTGTCAAGGGGAAATTATTAAATTCTTATCGGCACTGAACACTCGACTATCAAGATCACATTTGTCTGAATAAAACTGGGATAAAAATAAAATAAGGGCTGAAACCGGTTTGGCTTAGTGGATAGAGTGTCAGCTTGGGGACTGAAGAGTCCTGGGTTCTATTCCGGTCAAGGGCATGTACCTTTGTTGCGGGCATATCCCCAGTGGGGGGTGTGCAAGAGGCAGCTGATCGATGACTCTCATCAATGTTTCTAACTCTCTCCCTTCTTCTCTGTACAAAATCAATATATTAAAAAAATAATAAAATAAAATAAAATAAGTGTTTCAGATATCCTAAGAAGGGTGACTGTTGTCATTCATTAGCGATGACTTTATTTTTAGGGTTACAATCACTATACTTTGATTAGGCTCTTCGGCCGACACTAACAAGTATAGGCAAAAACAGTGGGACCCTTTGAATGTTTTTATTTTTCTCACCAAAGGACATACTGAAGAGAAAGGAGAGAATTGGCTGCCTCTTAAACACGCCAACTGGGGATCAAACCCACACCCCAGGAACCATGTGGGTTTATTATGTGCCCTTACCAGGAACCAAACCAGCAACTTTTCAGTGCACAGGATGACAACCAACTAAGCCACTGTGGCCAGGTAGTAGGACTTTATTATTTTACAATAGATTATTTCTGCTATGAAAGCCTCAATTTTTTTTGTACATGCACAATTTCACTTCAATTTTTCTTGGTAATAACTTCTTTAACAGTTTCTTTCTCAAATTTGTTCAGAGGTACTTTTTATTTTCAGCATGGCAGTTTATCACTAGAGTGGCATATATATTCATCACTTTACAAGTTTCTTTTTCTCTAGTTTCTTTACCTTGACATCCATATTCCTATCTCCTTTTCAAGTCATTTTGTCTTCTGTCCAATGTTTTTTGGACTTTATACTCTTTTTAGACAAAGCAGCTTCTTCAGTATGTTCTTGCTCTAAATATACATTCATCTTCTTTGGAAATTCAGAACTTATTATGAAATAATTATTCTCCTGCATAAAAGATACCAATATTAAGCAATAACGAAAACTTAATTGCTTTCTTAATTACACATAACTGAGTTCTAGAGACAACACCTAAGATGTTAAAAATCCAATTAATTTTTGCTTTTATTCTCACTTGATAGTCTAGTATCAAACCTAACAATAGTACTGAAAAGTCTATGTCACACTCAACTACCCCAAAAAAATTTTATTCTTGTATTTACTGCACCAAATATTAAAGCCTTTCCAAAATTAAGCAGGGACTGTAAGACAGTAACTACTGCATAAAATTCTTCCTGTACCATCTGAGACACCCTCCCAAAAGGAAATAGAATAAAAATGTCACTTACCACCAATTTGATATCACATTCATCATCACATTCAAGATTTGTAGCAACCTCATCCTCTTCTCTGCAATATTCAAAATATCAGATGACTAAATCCTCTATAACCCAATTAATAATATATTAATTATCACACACAAAATAGTAATACTAGCCAAGGAGGAAAATTATATTATCATGCATAACACCCAAAATTGGCTCCCATGTGCCAAGCTCATAAAGCTCAACTATAATAACCCAAATGGCCTAATGTATCTTTGCTACCATCATTATTAAAGTATGAGCAAATATTAAAAGCATAAGGATGAATGAGCATTAATATTAAAAAACATTTGATAATGATTAAATTTACACTGACTCTTCAATAGGAGAGATCGATCCATCATCATCCAAGTATTTGTATCTACGACTATCAAGATCTTCTTTTTCTAAATCTTCACCAACATTCATCTGATTTAAGGATTCCTTGAGGTGGTATTCATACTTCAGTTTCTCAAGGTAGTTGAAAAATCCTCTTGCCACTGCTTGCTACAAATGAGAAAAAAATCACAGCCTTACAAATACTTCCCTCTATCCTCATCAGAGGTGCGTTCCAAAAAAAGCAAGGACCCCCTTACTAAGAGCACTCGGTGATCTTGATTTAACTATTCTGCCATATGCAAGTAATACAAATGCTGACTGTAAAAAGAACTCACTGCTACCTTGGAAATTATCAAACTTACCAAAGTTGGTACAACCTAGAACAAATCTTGTGTTGTTTGGGAATAGACTTAAATGCAGATAAACTATCTTTTAACCCACACCTGAGGTTCTTTTTTCTATTGCTTTTAAATAAGGGTGTCTGTGAATGAGGGGGGGAATACAGGGGAATAAACATCAATGTGAGAAACACATGGATTGATTGCTTCCAGCACAAGCCCTCACCAGGATAGAGCCTGCAACTGAAGTACATGCCCTTGCCCAGGAATCAAACCTGCAACCCTTCAATGTATGAGCCGGCCAATGTATTAACCACTTAACTCAAACCATCCAGGGTGCACATAAGCAAATTTTTGAGGCTTTATTATAATCACCTTAAAAAATAGGTTAACTGTCAGGCTGGTTTGGCAAGCTCCAGTAAGGGGTGTGCAGCAGGCAGCCAATCGATGATTACCTCATCATTTAATGTTTCTCTTTACTCTCTGAAATCAATCAATCTATCTATTTTAAGGTTAACTAATATCAATCCCCTCAAATCAATTTAAATCAAGCAATTAAAAATTAACTATTCAAACGTTAAATACAATATACTGCTAAGTACCAGGCAGTTATGTCAGAAAATGAATACTCACTATCAATAAGAAAATAAAACCTACTAAAATCACTGAACACACAAGTTTTGTTTTGTTGGGGGGGGGGGGGGGGAAGACACACACACATAGGTTGACCTAAGTTACAATTGGGAACCATTTGAGTTTTTGGGATGTGAAAAACCTGAGATCAAGAGATTTTACAGGAACTGCCTTGGAGCACTTCATATACAGGCAGTTAAATACACACATGAAAATTTCACCTAGAAGCCAATGGAAGTTTGAACTGAAGGACGGTACATCTAAATTTAAAGTGACCAATACACCAATTCGGGCACTTTAGCTATGGGTACCCACATATACTAACTCACCTCAAATGTTAAAATTTTTCTCCAAGGTAACGGTTTACTTCCGTTCTCTGACTCTACAAATGGGAACTGAGGTCTTTTAACTCTAAGCTGTTTCTTACTTATTTGTGACCTACTGTTTTTCCTTCCTTTTGGTCTTTCCTTTGGTCTTCCTGTTGGCTTGTATTTCCTCTTTTTACGTTTCTTTGGTTTCTTTTTCTTGAATCTTTCAAAAATAGCTTTTAAAGTCAATGGTCTTGGTTCTATAGATGAGTCACTGGATGAATCTCTTGCTTGAACACTTTCAAGTGATTGAACACATTTCCTAATAGGATTTCTTCGCCTCCGTTTAGGTGAGGAAGGAACACATTGAGTTTTAAATAAGCTGCTACCAGAGGAAGAGCTATCACTGGAGGAAAAAAGGGGGAAAATTAATGTATCCTCTTTATAAGACTGAATGCTTATTACCATTAATGCACGTTTCTTCCAAGGGCAGAAGCAGGAAAACCTGCTCAGGTTTATGTAAACCAGGTTTTTCTATTCTTTCCTAATCCTTGAGAATTACCTTTATTACCACTCCTTATCTATAAAGATTTATGCTTTCCTAGTAATTCAAGTAAACATTATCATCAAATCTGTTGTCTTCTAATGAAAATCTAGCAGTTAATATAAGAAGTAAACTTACTTTTGATTTTCAATTTCCAAAGCTGAATCAGATACTGTTATGTAGTCCGGAGAATCCATTCCTGCTATCTTCTTCCGGTCTGTCTCGAAATTGTTATTCCTCACTTCTTTGCTTTCACCAAATTTCTGACAACATAAAATACAGTCCATATGATATCGTTTCCCCAAACAAGTGCCAGCACAACTAGTATCCAAGCAATGCAAAATTTGATGCATATTATGTCATTATATGTAAATTAAGGCCATTCATATTTTCATGTAGGGACCATCCATTTCAAATAAAAATCTAAAAATTTTATTGATAGGCTGTATCTTTCAGTTGTGCCTCTATTGCTATCCAGTGGAACAAGGGTCTAGGAAATGTCATCCCTTCAAAAAAATATCAAACATCTTTCCAATAACAGGAAAAAAATGTAACTTTATCATTAGTCATTTAGTAATGTACAATTAATGGCCCAAAAGCCATTTTCCAAAAGCAAATGGTAACAAGGCAAGCCTCAGTATGCCAGGAAAAATAATTTGCTCTCTCAACCTATTACACCATTTTTAAATTCCCGGTCTGGGATTTTCATTTGTGGCTTTTCCCATTCATACTGATTCAACAAAATCACTATGAAACCTTTCTTGGCATATCTTTTTGTTACTATGGTTATTAATTTAAAAGTTATGAATTCTCTCTTAAAATTCAATGATTAGACTATTAACATTGATGTCTTTTATCTTCCTTTAAAAAAAATTCCTAAGATTTTACAGTAGTTTTGGGAAATGAGTAAAGATGCAAGTTACCTTAAACATAAAGGTAGTTCAAATAATGGGCAATCAGTAAGTTCACATGTATCTTAGATTCTCCAAAATGTCCAATGGACTCACATAGTAATTTCATGGTTTTATTGTAGTTTGAATACAAAATCAGACTATGTCATGAAATGCTCAAAAATAACATTAAACTAAATTGGGTACAATGGCACTGGTGGTACACCTGAGCTTAACATTTTTTTAAAATATTAGGACATTTTCAGAATAAAGTGTAATGAACTCAAAAGTCACTGTTTCGGAAACGTATTTAGAAAGCCTTTCCGAGTGTCCCTTATTCCGAAATTGGGCCACGTGGCCTGACAGTGCAACCACCCCCTCCCCCGCGGCCAGAACAAAGCTTCTCTAACCACCACCTGACCTTGGGGTGACGATCTCAGGAAACCCCTCAAGTGACCGGACGTCCCGATTTTGGGAAGATCCTTTCCAAACACCCGGGCTGTCCCGCCAAAAGCGGGACCTAAACCCAGGCACAGAAAATGGCCTAAGCGTTACCTGGTATCGATTAGCCCAGAACCCCTGTACTGGTCTGTAGCCCCTACAGCGCCAACACCCCGGACCACACCCACTGTCGGCGTGGTTTGTGTGCCGCCACCCTCAGGCTGGACTCCCCGGGCTCGCACCTCGCGAGCGTCGCAGGGGGAGGTGGAGTGGGGGCCGGGGAGAGCGGGAGGCGCACCCGGCCCGGACGGCACCGTCCCCCGTCTTACCCGGGTAAGTCCGCGGACGGCTCGCACCACCAAGCGCCGGCTCCGTAAGGGCCTCAGCGGCGAACTCGCCACCCGCAGCCCGGGCCCGGGAAGCCGGCGCCGCACGAAGCAAACACCGGCCTCCGCCCAGTGCGCGGAGGGAAAGACCCGGCCACCCGCGAGACCTGGTTAATAGTGGGGCCAAACTCTCGCGATAACAGTTTAGCTCCGGAAAGAACGCGAGAGACGGGAGGTGGGGGAGCGCGGCTGGGGTGGCCGCGGAGGGAGGAGCCGTTCCAGGTGGGCGGGGCCTGAGCTCCAAACCCAGAGGAGGCGGAGTCGCCTGCGGCGGGGTTTAGGCGCGGGAGTTCCCTAACCGATTAGGTGAGGCGTATAGCGGAGAACCTGTAGGCAAACGACAGAAAGGAATTGTGCGGCCGAGGGAACGGGAAGGGTGTGAAGTGCGAGGAGACAGCCCGGTTTGGTTCCGGGGGTCTCGCCTTTGCAGACCTGGCGTCCTGGGCGTGGGTGAGTGGGGGTGCGTGGTGCCTAGAGTGCGTGGTCGGATTATGTCTCTTTTTGCCTCCAAAAATCTCTTCTGTGTTAAAACTGAAAGTCTCTCTTGCTTGGACTGTCACTCAAAACATGGAACCTTTGTACTGGAACCAGTGTGACTGCGTAGGACACCCAGCTCTCTCCACCTTTGGACTTTTGTTAGCTCCAAAGTGGGGTCAGCCTCCCAGGAGTTGGTTAACATATCACTGGAGACAAATTCCTTTTCTCAGTCCCTCCCCCCTCTTAGTTCCCGAGTGTTAACAAAAACCAGCTTAGAAACTAGCTTAGTTTTGGTGGGGTTTCTTCCCCAAAGCAGTCACAAAACGGAATACGCTGGTCTGATTTGTGCATTTTCAGACCTCTTGTATCATATGATAAGCCAGGAAACTTGTCTAGTCTTAGTTTAGCTAGTGTGATCTCAGGATTGGGCAAACCTAAAAGGTAATCTGGTCTATTCACTCAGTTTTGTTCCAAATAGTGAACAATTCTAGGCACAAAAAGTCTGATCCTGTGGGCATGTCCAGTCTATGAAATACTGAGCTCCAGGACAGGTACGGATGTCCCATCCACTGCCGTATTAGGGAGTAAGCACTGGGCATGTAGTTTGTAAGGCTCATTACAAAATGAAAATGCCGGGTGACTTGTTCAAAAATCGGGAAAACTATCATTAAAGGTCCTAAAATATAAGCTGTGAAATGATCATGCTTTGATTGCCACTCAAAATATGGAGCCTTTGTACTGACTGGAAGCCAGTGTTACTCTGTAGCACACCCAAATATATTGGTTTCCTTTTTTCTTCCTTTTTTCTGTAGTATCTCTTTTGACCTGTCATGATGTTTTAATTAATAATATTATTTTGCTATTAATTATTGATAGCATTATTAATCATGCTATTAAATATTATGCTATTATTTATTAACATTCATTTGCTATTTAATTCACTCTAAGAAAAATTTTAAGTTTACATTAACATGATTTTTACTATTCTTTATATTGTGCAATTCCAGTTTCAAATCTATAATTATAAAAGCATAGTACGCTAATTACACCGGACATCCTGGACGAAGCTGGGACTGCAAGGGAAGCCCGGGTCCCGGTACCAGAGGGAAGCCGGTGTCAGCAGCCCGGGGATGGAAGGCCTAATCTTGCACGCATTACATGCATCATGCCTCTAGTACAAATATAAGAACATTTGTTAAATCATTTGCAGAATCATTGAAATTTCACAATTTGTATTTCCTAATGCATCTAAAGTATCTACTGTTCTTACTAGAACTGCAGCAAATGCATGAGACAAACTCATCTGTGTTTATTTAACTTCCTTAATTACATTCTACCAATACTATGGAACCCAGGGACTTGGAGTCTCGCTAAACCCCATGGATCATGGGCCCACCAGAATTCTATGCTCACCGAGCTTCACAGATACTTCATGTGGAAGGGGACAGTTAGGAATGATGGTGGGCATGCACACTGCACCTCTCTTCTCTCATTCCATGCACGCTCCATTGCCCTGTCAGTCTCACACAAAAAGTTCAAAGGTAAAATGACAACAGAGAATTAAACCAAGTGCCATTCTGAGCATATGGCCTTGTGTAGCTACACTAGTTATACACAGTGTCCCAGGGCCTTGGGTCTGGTACATTGTAAATGTTGAATAAATTGAGACTGCACTTACACTGGTTGTTTACTAGATACTTGTAACGGTTTAAAAAAAAAAAAAAAAGGAACAGGGCAGAATGGAATCCCTTTTGCTAAGCCCCTTCACCAAACCCAAACTTAATAACTAACCTAATTGTAGTTTCAGCCTCTTCCAGGGTAAATGTTAAACCAATCCATATAGAATATCCAGATCAAAACTAGTCAGGTAATCTGCTTGATAAACAACCCTCCTGTCCTTTCACCCCAAAAGAATAGGACTTGGCCAAAAAATAATCTTTTTTTTTTTTCTTTTGCTAATAACTTGTCTGCCACACCCTTCTGACTAGAAAAACCCTCCATTTATGCACCATCTCTCGGAGTGCCCTTCTACTTACCGGATGGGATGCTGCCTGGTTCACAGATCTCTTAATAAAACCAATTAGATCCTCAAATTTACTCATTTGAATTAGTTCTTTAACAGAAGTCAGGTGTGAGAAACATCTTTAAAGAGATGATGGTCTGGGTGGGGGTGGGGGGAAACAAAGCAAACAGATCATCATAAGTATCCTCTGAATGCTGTAAGGTCACTCAATACAAACTCTTCCTTATTGTGAGCTGAAGTGTGTCATTCCTTCACTGGTTAATTGGCATATGTGATGAGTTCTGGTTTTGCAATGTGTTAGCTTTGGCTTGAATTCTGTTTCTGCCACTTATAATAGCTGTGTGGTGGTCAGGTAAGTACTGTATTCTCTAGCCAATTCCCTCCTATGAAATGAGGACATCAACAAGGTTGTAAGAGGTTCTGAGAGAATGTCTGTCAAGTGCCTAACATAGTGTCTGGTACATGAAATGCAGTTAATAAATAGTTATCAGCTTGGTTACCATAGCTCATTCACTCATTCTGCAGTTCCATGTATCCAACTGGTTCCTACTAGTATTTCTATTCCCATCTCTAGACCCTACTTCTGGGCCACTGACTCTCAGCAATGGAGTATGAAAGGTAAATGCTGTGTGCCTCCACATGGCCCACAGCTGTCCTGGAGCCACTCTGAGTTTATAGCAGAACCTTTCTATCCCTTTCTCTCTTCACCCCTCCAACTCCCACTTAAACACTTACACACACTACCACGCTGCCTTCCGGGCTGTTGGCTTGACTGACGTTCTACATTTCTAACCCAGTTATTCAGGCTATAGCCCCTCAGTATTGGACTTTCTATTTTGGTGAAAAAGTAAACAAAACAAAAAAACTGACCTTTTTAAAGATAGCAAAGGGTGTAAAATTAGGATATATTTGAATTTAAACTTCAGTCATTATTATTTGTACTAGAAGCAGAAATATCTAGAATGCTTTTATTATCCTCA